AGGTATAAAGGAACAATTGGAATCGAAGAAACCTCTGCAAAACCTTTTGCAGTTATTAAGCAAATGAGAAGCAGGCACCTGACAAGAATGCCGAAATTTGAGGTTTTATAAAATTTTAAGGAATGTACTTGCCTATGGATACTTGGACAAGTTCCAAAGCAGACGAGAACCTCTTAATATGTGAAAGGAAAATTTGAGCTTGCGAAAGTCAGCTACCAAGTGCGGACAGGCAGAATTGGAAAAAGCTAGTAGTGATATAAGGTCAGTACAGGCACGTATGTTACTAGTAAGTTCCATGAGCTTCTTCGACGACATTCTTAAACTTGTTCAAAGGGCTACAGCATAGCTGATGATTTGATCTGAGTACGGGTGCTACTGGCCCTTGTGACGTCATGTCAGAGTGCAGGGAGCTAAAACTAGTCTAACTAGACCTTTTATCACTACTAATGGGCTGGCAATGAAGCAAGCATGAGGGATGATGAGATCCTAAAAAGATATCGAAATGAAAATTTACACGGTACTCGTTCAATAGGGGGTTCAAAGCTACACTGGCTGGACGGCATTAAGGAAGATGCCAAAAATTTGCTAAATGTGAGGAACTGGAGAGAATGGCTATAATGGATCGGGAGAACTGGAGTAAGCCAAGATCCACTAACTGTTGATGATGATGGGTCCAATTTTGAGCTAGTACTGCCATTCACGTTTGCTACATTTGTCATTATTATTCGCCATTAAAGACTTTTCGGGCGTGTTAGATTTAAAAAATGTCTTATATATAAAAAAAAGTATAGGATCTTGCCTTATCTAAAAAGCTTCTTTCATAAATAAAGAACTGATGTCGGAGGCCAAATCTTCACTTCTCTCGGACTTTTCCGAAAGTAAAATCGATCTTAACCGAATCACCGTTTAAATACGATCACCTGTCGTTTACGAATAATCACTGCACATCTCACGAGGTCATACTTCACCGGACTTAAAGCCTAATTCACCGTCATCTGCGGAAAACGGAAAAACTCACCGAAGTCCTCATCGGCCGAAAGGGAAAGCCGAACTGAGAAGTGATTTTGGTGTGAAACAGTCATAATAGCACATCAGTGGCGCAATGTTTATTTATAATTCTGGGTGTTTTTTGGGGCCTCCTTCGGCTGCCGTGCTGATGTGGATGAACCCGGGTAATAAACAAGATTGTCCGGCCGCCGTACCAGGCGGGGTATTTTTTTTACAGTCTATCTTTCGATTATAAAAAGAAAAACTTGTTAAAAGTTTTCTATTCTCGGAAGGATTTATAACACCCCGTCGAAACGAGGGCGATTTTTAGGGTCAAGGCACATGTGTACACATTGGCCTTGCATCCCTATTCAACACTCGACCGAGTTATACAATTTATTTTCATTTCGAGAGATTTTCTCACATTTTGCCAGTAAACCCTCAGAAAAAGACACGGAGAGTGGTTCATTTTGTAAAGGAAGAACGTTCAGATATATCGCCAGATCTATGATATGTATGCTGTGCTTCGTAATGAGGATCAGGTTAGTGTAATACGCTGACAGGCAAAAAATTCCACCCACTTGTAATATAACTTGATTTGTATATATTTTTATATATTAATCAAAGTTTCAGGTTTTTTAACGTTTAATAATTAAATCTGCCTAAAAAAGTTTAAAAAATGTATATTGCTTAGGACGGACAGATGAAATTTGTTTTAATTTTGTTTTAAATGTTTAATTAACGTTTCAATATCGCGTATTTCCTCCTCTTGTCTTAATTACATATCGAAGTCGCCTCGGCATACTTTCTACCAGTCTGGAAATGACTCTTTGCTGGAGGTTAGCCCATTCTTCACGAAGAGTCCTTTCAAGATCGTGGAGAGTATCAGGAAGTGATGGACGTGATCTTATTCACCTCTTGAGGTTATCGCATAAATATTTGATGGGGTTCAAATCTGAGGAACGGGTTGGCCAGGCTAAGACCCTGATGTTATGCTTTTGGAGGTACGTTTGTACTATGGGACCCACATATGGACGGGCATTATCGTGCATTAGAATAGGATTGTCGCTGATTTCATCGACGATGGGCAACGCATGATATTCCAAAATTTCATCCACATAGCGAGTGGTCGTCAAAGACCCTACACGAACAACAACCAACTCTGTCACATCATCACTGAGCTACATCGAAAAGGTTGGCTCTGGGAAAAATTACAGGCTTCGCACCTTTCATTTCGCCTTCTCCACACTGTCACGCCCATCTGGAGATCGTAGAGTAAATCTACACTCATCTGTAAAAAGTACAGCAGACCAATCTCCAAAGACCAATGGCTATGTTCTGGAGCAAAGGGGAACCGTGCAACTCTGTATGTTCTGGTCAATTCTGGTCCTCTTACGGGGCTAAAAGCTATCAGTCCATATTGATTTAATCTTCTTCAAGCAGTGCGTTAAGAAATTTGGACACCTCGAACTTCCTGGAGCTGATGAATCGCGTGAACAATAAGGTGCCGGTTTCGAAAAATTCTCAACGTCAAAAAACGGTCATCCCATGGTTCTGCTACTCTAGGGCTTCCAGAACCGGGCCTTTTATGATAGGACCGAATTTCCGGAAAACTTTTACCGGCATCTGGCAGAGTTTCGTAGGGAACTCCGATGGCAATAACCGCATGCCTGATAGAAGGTCATCAATAAGTGCCACACCACGCGCAACATCCTCAGCATTAAGTGGCCTTTTTAAGTTTAAAAATTGAAATTAAGAAAACAAAGATGAAAACTAAACAGTTATTGCTTCAGAATTCATATGAGACTGAATAAACATTTTAAATTTCGTAAAAAGTTAACATTGAAAAATCCTTTATTTTGTTTTGGATTAAGGTTTAAGTGCGTTTACCTCTAATTGATTAAACAGTGAGACAAATTAAGGGCAGAATTCTCTTTTATCGAGAAAATGAAAAACAAAATCAATTGGGTGGAATTTGTTGCCTGTCAGTGTAATTTGTAGAGGCATTTAATTAATTAATTAACGACTTTAATGATTTATTCCTTTTTTTATTATTTGTTTTATTCCTTTTACGCCATTTGTTCAGTTATAAAGAACCACTAGAGCACTCCTTCTGCCAACACTATCCAAGTTGAAAAAGCATTGGACATTTTCCAATACAATAAGACGTAGAATATTATTTATCAATTTTGTTTCATTTAAATCGGCAAAGTGGTCTAAATAAATTTTGCACAGTATGCGAGTTTCAAGTTACAAATTACCAATAATCAGAACTTGTGGTGAAACGTCTTGCACCACTTTTTGGTCACGTCGGATGTTCGCAATCTCAAATATTAAACAAACGGCAATACTCGACAACATGGTGAGTTTTTTCCGTCTAATTAACAATATTCTCTCACCAAATTAATCGTTTTAACTTCAAATTTACCTGTTTTAATTGCAAATTAACCCTTTCTTTAAAACATTAGAAACAACTTAGGAGATGGTCTGAAATGTAAGTAAAATTCCTATGTATTTGTGATATTTTTAAAATATATAGCCTTTTTCCGTCATATTAACACTTTTTAACTTCTAATTAACTTAATTTTACTTTCAAATTAGCCCATTCTTCAAAGAATTAAAAAAATTTAGGAGATGGTCTGAAATGTAAGTAAAATTCCTATGTATTTGTGATATTTTTAAAATATATAGCCTTTTTCCGTCATATTAACACTTTTTAACTTCTAATTAACTTAACTTTACTTTCAAATTAGCCCATTCTTCAAAGAATTAAAAAAATTTAGGAGAATGGTATGAAATATAAGATGGTAAAGTAAAATTACTATGTATTTGTGGTATTTTAAAAATAAACAGCTTTTTCCCGTCAAATAGCGCTTTTTAACTTTCAATTAACTTTTTTAATTTCAAAGGAACATTTTTTCCAATTTCATATACAGTGAAATATCTGTGTATTTAAGGAATTTTAAAAATATATAACTTTTTCCCGACAAAACACTTTTTAAAATCAAATTAACCATTTTTTAAATTTCGAAATAATTTTTAATTTTAATTTCTTTAAAGCATTGAAAAACGAATTAGAAGATGTTATGAAATGTAAACATGTAAAGTAAAATCGCTGTATATTTGAGAAATTTTTTATTTTAAAAAATATTAATAATTGGGCTCTTATATAAAATACCACATGAAGATTAATTAAAATTATAATTAAAACTGATGTAAAATTAGCTATTTATATATAAATATATATATAAATTTATAACGGTTTCATAAACAACCTGAAATATATAAATATATGTATCTCAAATTAAAAGAAGAATGTTGTATTTTTATTTTAGACTAATTTTCATATAGTTTTTAAGAGGTCAATTCAATGTTTTTATTAAAAACATCACAAATGAAAAGAAAGAATAATTTAATTTACATTTAATGTTTAACTTTAATTGTAATTAATTTTCATTATTTTCAAAGCCCAATTATTTTATATTCCTTTTTTCTAAATGCAGGACTTTTATTTTACGTGCTTACATTTCATATCATCTACTAGCGTTTTTTGGTGTTTTAAAAAAAGGACTCATTTTAAATTAAAAATGAGTAATTTTAAGTTAAAATTAGTTAATTTCTAATTAAAAAGGTCTAATTTCAAAACAGTTAATTTCAAATTAAAAAAGGTTAATTAAAAAAAACATTAATTTAAAATTGAAAATAGCTCATTTGAAATTAAAAATAGTTGATCTGAAGATAAGAACAGTTAATTTGACCTTAAAAATAATTAATTTCTAATTGAAAAGGGCTCATTTGAAATTTAAAAAAAGGTTAATTTGAAATTAAAAAGAGTTAATTTGACGAAAAAATCTAAACGATGAGCAATCTAAAAACAGTTGATATAAGCTTAACCCCTTTTTTATTATCTATTTTTTTATGCCGAACAGCAACGAATAAATTATACTTCTTTTATTGAACAAAGAACTAATAAAATTGAAAAGTACTAGATTTAAGGTACTTGTGAAAGAAACCTGTTGTTTTCCGACCCAAGCTGGTGGAGGAGCAGGAAGCGAAGGCGGCACGTCCTTCACCCAGGGTGGGCGGAATGTTGTCCTTTTCTCTCCGGTGTCCGCGTTTGGCCTTACTATCGGCATCTTTCCTTCTGAAACAAGAAAACATTTTTTTTTGGTTCTCTACGAGATAGGTATTAAAACACCACACAGTTGATTCCCCTATCAAATTACCTAAGGGGGCTGACATACCCTTTTGCAACCCCGTTTTTGAACACACCTTTACTCCTCAGCCTGATATAAACAATACACAACATGAACAGCTAGTAAGACAGAACCTTTACATCCCACGTCTTCCTTATCCCCCTTTTAAATCTTTCAAGCCATCTGAAGTAAAGTCCTATATGCACATTACAACTCCCATATACACGGAAACCTCCCGCAGAGGGCCATAGTTTTTTATCATTTCCACTTCAATCCAAGGAACCTCTCACTTTTCGCTACTTTGAAACTATTTCATAATCATACCTATCATATCTAAACCCCACAAACCTCCCAACCACATATCTTTCTACCAGTAATGTCCAGTGTTGATAGACTACTTTTAAAAAGCCCAATACCCATCCTACATTTACATGTGATTTTTAAAGCCAATTCAGTTACCGTCCTCGTCATTCCACGATACAGCAATATTTCAGGGTTATTGACATTATTTCCCTTCTCTAGAGAACAGAGAGTACCGCTCGGGTACATTCTTAGACATGTTGCAAGCTTTTGACACCCGGGAGTTCTCTTCAAAGTAAAACAGTTTCTACCCACTCCTTATTACCAAATCTTAAAATCCTAACCAACCGCTGATGGATCTCCAGTAGAAGCAATTCCCCGTCACGTGTTCATTCCCAAATGACACTGTCTCAAATTAACACAGGATCCATACTTACAATTCAATATAATCGTCAAGTTAGAAGTTACTTGGTGGAACTAGTACTATCCTTGCAACGTTTCATCTTCAATTGAATAAAAATAAAAGATTTGACAGGAAAAAGTAAGCCAGACGCCTATTTCCAGTCTTTAAAAGGGAAACTAAAAATAGTTCTTAAACGTATTAATGAACTCTCAGCCATTAACTGCGAAGCTGATGTGCAACGTGAATTTATTTTTATATACCCTCAGTGTAATACTTTATTTATAGTTCTGCCGTGGAAGTAAGATAAAATCGGTAAATAGGACCACACAGGCACGTTGGACATTTATTACTATCACTGTTTATTTTCTTAAAAACGTGCAGCTGATAAGTGACTTTTTTTCGAGGTTTGTCGTGTGTATTGAGGTTGAAAGCATATGGGAGCGGTAACGGTTGCTCTCAGGAATTCATGTGGTAGGACGTGATATTATATAGATAACATATAGAGGAAAGTGGGGATAAGAATATTTTTTCTTGTTGAATAGCGACAGTGGCCATGTCAGTCCTTTGTCTATGTAAAGTTCGAGATATTCATCGTGGTTCTTACTTGGGTGTCACCTGTGGGACTCCTGATCGGATGCGACTTAAGCGGACTAGATGCCCTTTAACTTACACATCAGTTGGTGCGTGTCAAAAGCTTGACCTATTTCCAGGACCCGTACTGCTTCAGCTCTAGGGAGGTAACATGTACTTCAGGACCGAACTGATGTTTGGAAATGATATTTGTTCCTGTTGTTATTTCTTTTTAGAACCTAACTAAGCCAAGCTGTTTTAGGACTTTTCCAAGGATTAGTAAGCTTGGTCTGTAGACGTCATGTGGAGATGAGTTTGCGAGATTGAGACATCATACTAACAGTAGGAAGCGTAAAAAGAATGGGGAAGCAGATGGTGCGTAGTACTCGTGCAGAGTAAGGTTAAGGTTAAAATGAATCTCTTTATACCATTACGCACCGCGACCAGTATTGACCCTTAGTTAAGCTGGCTTTTTATCAGATTTGAATCAAGGACTCATGTGTGTATCATCGAGGCTCAGGATAGGAATCTGCCTGCAGCCTTCACACGAATAGAGGGCATGATCTGCTGTTGATTCTTCTTTCTGGCATCTGAACCGGCTTGTTTCTGCTGCTCCGAGCCTGCGTAGTCTGCAGTCCTATTATTATTCTAGTCCGAACCTTCCCTAGGTTTAGCAGTTGTTGTTAGTTCCAATCCTTTGATGAACTTTTTGGCATCCTATTACCTGAGAGCTCTACAAGACCACGTAATCAGCACAAAACTCGTCCGAAACTGCCTAAATGCCCTTAAAAACTAGGATCAACAGAACGTAACGATAAAGTCCCAAGTAGTGAGGGAATCTCAGGGACAAGGCTGATGATGATGAAGAGAGAATGGGGGTTTTATGTTCCCCGAGCATTCTTCTGGCTTATTGTACTTTTCCTAATTCCTTAGTTCACTGCAATCGACTCGATCCTTCTCTTAAGACGTATAAGGTCAGGCAATGTCTCTATTGAGCGGTTGCTTCGCATTGGAAGAGGCTGTTTCTTCCTCATCATTGCATAATCAGCCAATGGTGACGTAGTCCTACCATTCTTTTGGGTGAAGCTCTGTCTAACTGTACCAATGATATTGGTCAGGGTCGTTTTATCATACGTTTGCTGTGTCTGGCACCTCTACAGTTTGTTCACTTTTCCTTTTGTCTTTTGTCCATTCTGAGATGGAGGATTCTGTATGTATTTTTGTCATCCCAAGTATAGGGTCAGGGTCTTGCAGACCTTCTCTGGCCTGCTCTTTCATTTCCCAAAATTTCTTTGCGTCCTGGCACCCAAGACATCAGGTTGCGTTTCCCCAGATTTTCGATGCATTCAATGACTATTTTTGAATCTTGATCTTTTACATGCAAAAGCTTTAATAGCTTCTTGGTTGTAGGTAATTATGAGGATTTGTTGTCAGTGTAATCTCTTTTAACATTTTCTAAAGCACATGCATTGCAGCATGCAACGAGACGGAAGACTTGCTAAAAAAAAATGAGCCTCGAAACAAACGGGCCCAAATTCATTTTCTACAATAAACTATAGCATTAAAAATTTGAATTTTTTGTAGCAAAAGAACACATCCTGGGAGCTAAACCAGCAAGAGGCAAACAAAAGGAGATAGAAAGAGAAAATCCTACTCAACAGAAAGGAATTAAAACTATCAAACACATGCTCCAGTAAACTACTTAAATAAAATGGGTCCTATGTTGATTATGTCTAAAAAAAGCGACTATAGGACATATCCTACTGTTAATACTGCTAGCTACGCACTAATAACTAGGAAAAAGGCTATGGTACCTAGGAAAGACATTTTTGAGTAATGGTACCAATGAAATCATACCCCTGAGAAGAATTCTGTACTTCACAAAAGAAAATAAGGAAATCCATCCAGAAAAAACCTATTATCTTTCTGGGAAGTTGAAAGAAGGATTTTCAAAATGATGAAGTTGTATCCAGGACTTTTAATTTTTAGTAGACTGTGAATGATCTGCTTGGCTTTGGATTGAATACTCTAGGGAGAAGGTAAGAGAGGTGATGGCACCTCGCGTTTGTCAGTTATGTGTTCTGTATGTTGTTGGTTTTGTATGTCATTATGCGGAGTCAGAACTGTCGAGAAATGCAGTGCCAGATATTGGGTCTTTTCATTAGATTTGACGCAGGAGGAAGAAGTTTTCAGTTATTATTTGTGTGGAGTGTAGGTCGTTAAAGCAATTTTGTAGTTCATTAGTTACCGTCTAGTTAATTGGTTAAAACCACCGTGGTATTTGCTGACATGGCAACGGACTCACTTTGGTCATAAACCTGGTTCACAAAACGAAAATAAATCCTTGATAGAAATCTTTGTGTCGTAAAACAATAAATTTTAGCCCTTCTCGGTTTCTGTTTACCCAGCACATCCTTCCGACCATCTGTCTATTTCAGTATGTTTGTTCCCATTGCAAGTTTACCTCTTTCGTCCGTTTATCCGACTGAATTCTTTCAGCTGTAGCCAGTTCGTTTAAAAATAAGGAAACAGACAAGCGTAAATCTTCCCTGGAGAAATACATCAGAACGTAATAAAAGTGCGCAAGTCTTCCTTTTAGTTAAAAAATAGTTTCATCATAATTTTATCAATCATTTAGATGGGTCAACAGGTTCTTGCTTTTGGTAATAAAGCACAAGATGTTACAAATATGAACTAAAAATTGAAAAAAGAAAGACAGAATAAAACTTAAAATAAGAAAATGAATCTGCATTTTCTGCAGCTACCCACTCACGCTGATAAATACAATTTCAATATATACAATATGAGATATCTTTTTCTAGATCTCCAAAAAATGGGAACAACTCAAGCACATCATATCGGGTGGCATTCCTACACGCTCTTTATATAGACGCAAGGAATGATATACCACAATAAGTGGGGTCACATCAAACAAACCTTTACACATACTGCATAACTAATCTAATTGACGGTCGATTGGCTACAGAATATTCCACCATCGTACCTAACACACTATGCTCACGCTAATAAATGCAATCCAAATAAACACAAAATTAACACAAAATGGACTATCTATCAAGTATATACAATAAAACAGTCTTGTTACCTATGAAGATCGGAAAGGGGACCCAAATACTCGCTGTCGTGTTCAAGCAAAACTATCAGGCCGGTTGGCATTCCTACACGCTCTCTATATGGAGCGAAGAAATGACATCCTTCAATTAGGTGGGTCACCTCGAGCAACATTTCTCTGCATGCTTTGGCCCAAAAGTGTCCGTACGTCAACTTCCCATGGCCTATCCTTAATCGGGTGAGGATGTCCCTTTTTTTATTAATCAGAGCTTCCATGGGCCACCTATCGACAGTGCAGATTTTTATCGTTTAAGTATTTATGATGGACGGCACTACAGTTGAATTTATCAACCTGAAGACTGCTGAAGCCGAAACGCGTCAGGCACAACAACACATCGAAGATAGATAGACGAGGTAACGACCGAATTATAGGTTCCTCACTGCACAGACTACAATTCTCATTAAACTTATTCTCTCACAATTATCATATCAGATGGTATTCTTACACGCTCTCTATTTGGAGCCAAGGAAGGATAACCTTTGATAAAATGGGATATATCGGCCAACCTTTCTCTACTTTGTCGTTAACGATCCTCGCTGTGTTGGTTTGCCAGTCCCGTTCACCTTCAGTGTAGGTGGCTGTGTCGTGTTTGTTAAGTCACTTTTCTAAGATCGTGTTGGGTTAGGCCCGTGTGTTGGCGTTATCTTTGTTTGCGGTGCCTTTGATGGATTCACCCTGGGTTTTTATCGTTAAGGTCATTGGATCGCTGGTCCTTCGTTTTAATTTTCCAACACTGAAGGTGATTAGAAGCTTTTCTTTCAAAAATCGCAACAGGGGACCCAAAACTCCCTCAAGTACACTAATATTTGGTGGAATTCCTACACGCACTCTACTGAGCCAAGGAATTACTTCAATTTATTAGTATACATCGACCAACCTCTACATGCGTGCGATTTGGCCATAAAAGTGAGTATCCACATGTCAACCTCGCATGGCCTCATCTACGATACAGATCTTCCGAGGGCCATTCATCGACCAAGTTCTTGAAAGATAGTAGCTTTTCTTCTGGTCCGATCCTCTGACCATTCGACCATACTTTTGCATATTGGATAAAGGTCCTTTCCGCAATTTGATCTAATAACCAGCAAAATGAGATAGAAAAGTTTTAACTATAACCTGCTAAGACCTCTAGCCTTAATAGATGTCATTATTAACGAAAAAACATACCATTACCAAACGATAAATTCTAACAGTAATTAGAGTCGTAAACAATATTAGGCGTAGAGCTAATGTAGCGTAAAATGTGTAGTCTTGTAGATAAAGAGTGCCAAGGACGAACGTTATTTTTAAATCATCATACCATAAGTAAACCAAGGCAGATTTTTAATAAGTGGACGGATCAGGACGGACAAAAGTGACGATGCAAAGTAGACAAGTAAGAAAAATCTGAAACTTTGGTTCAATCCGCGGCCCCGTTCATATTTTCATCGAATCGCCTTATAACTGGGATAAGGACGTCTAAATATAAATTTTTACACAATTCCAAATGTCGACATCTACTTTTTAGTGGCGAATAATAATGCTTGGTTAAATATGTTTTCTCAAGAATACAAAGATGGTCCTAGTGAAAGCTTTCCATCTTCAATTTTATTTACTTTATTTTTTTTTAGTTTTAAATTATCCTTGCAAATTAGAAAAATTAGAAAGGAAGAACTGGTACAAGTACTCGCACTTGATTGATACCATTTACATGCTAGTATTATGGATTAGTAGATAATTGTGATGAAAAAATTACACTCCATGCTGTAAACCTTAGCTTAGAATATCCTATAGGTGCGTTTTACAAAAAAAAAATATATATATATATAAATTTATGGGTTCAAGTCCTTTGGTTTGAGTCTGTGATCGTCATTGCATATTGCTTTGATGTATTCACCTTGCAATTTTCATCCTACGAACAATCAGTATCTGCTTACGCCCTATCGGTTTGCTGCCATTACGTGGCACAATTCTTGTAAAACTCCTAAAACTCCTACAACCTTCTTTCAAAGTTCCTGTATCATTCCATCGCTCGCAGAGGCTAGGCAAGTCTTCGATCTTGTGACAACCGGCTTTTCTCTGGCAACACAAGCGCATCCTCCTTCATCTACTATGCTGAAGCGGGTGGCCAAGGTGTCATCCTTCCCAAAGCCCTTACAAACCTCCAGGAATATTTGTACTGTTTGGAGGTTCAAGAAACGGAGGATCAGACACATCGCAATCAAATCCCAGCAAATAGCCTCCACTCTACGTTGGCATTCCTAGCGAGGAACATCCTTCTCCTCTATCAAGCTGAAGAGAATGTTGCCTTGTCCCATTCTTAGTGTACACTTCAGACATTCCTATCAATCCTAATAAACTCACATATGCAGACGATATCGCTACCCTTTTAGCAAACCCAGAACCAATGGCCTTCAAAAACCTACTATCAGTCCTGTTTGGAAGAACGGTTCATGAAATGGAGGATCAGACACGACAAAGCAAATTCCAGGAAATAACTTACACATCTCCTCCATTCTACAATTCTGTTCCTCTCTCATCAATCAATGCCGTCCTCTAACTGGAACTTTACATCGACAAAGACTTAAACTCAACACTCGACTGAAAATACTACTCGACAGGTCGAAACTCTCTGTAAAAGACAAACACATCATTACTGCAACCAATATGGACGGAATTAAAGTGTGAGGTTCAACCAAACGTTCCAACTACCAAAGAATCCAGTCGCTCCAGTCCAAAATCCTCCGAACCGTTGTCCGAGCTCCCTACTTCCTATCCAACCTTACCATCAAGCCTTCCAAATTTCAATTTTCCTCGAAACTGCAAGAAGTTGATACAGACGACTGCATAAAAGCCCTGGACCCTCATCCCAACCTCCAAGTCGAAAACCTTTCATACCAAACCCTTCCCGATATTCCAAAATCATTCGAATTATTGCACAAAATTCATACTGCGTATACAATTTAACTACTCACCGAGACCTTCAGATTTGTTCTCAAAACCGCCAGAAATCACATGCCTCCGTAAACTTCTGGACCATCATCCCAACCTCCAAGTCGAACACCTTTAATACCAAACCCTTCCCGATATTCCAATCCTTTGAACCATTGCACAAACTTTATACTTCCTATTCAACTTAACGACTCACCGAGACCTTCAGATTTGTTCTCAAAACCGCCAGAAATCACATGCCTCCGTAAATTCCTGGTCCCTCATCCCAACCTCCAAGTCGGACACCTTTCATTTCAAGCCCTTTCTGGCCATCATCCTCTAAGACACCAAAAGCACCTAAGACTCTGCTGACATTGTTAAAAAGAAAGAAGTTGGTAGAATGTGCGACATACATTCCAACCCTAATTTCTTTGTGATAAAAATCATTTAACACGACAATTTTGGGGGGGTTTTCTGAAGGCCTAAACAGAAAATAAGTCTTTAATACAAGAATAAATTTTATGGTATAAATTGGTAATTTTCAATAATTACGAAGCCCTAAGAAGACTACGGGTTGAATCTAGACGACAGACTATTTACGTAAATGCTAAACAGGACAGAGCCCAATATAGATCCTTGTAAGACCACCCCGCAATTTTAATAGACTTACTCTTACGATCATCATTATTGCCAACAAAATGACAAAGTTTCTTTTGTCCTAATGCAAACCAAATGAGTATTTTAATATAATCGAACGATGTCATCATATCAAAAGTAAATTTCACTTGAACCAAAGAGGACTCGACAAACCATTCAGTAATTTAATTATCAGTTATATTTTTGACATTCAAACCTTAAGATTAAATTTGAAAACAAAAATGTTAACGACAATACGTGATGTACGACGAGTACTTGCAGTCGTAACCCATTTATTTTACATCTGGGAGGGTGAATTTTTGGCAAACATATTCGACATTCGGACCAAGGTTTGGGTTAGTCAGAGACTAAAATCCGGATGACAGCCAAATTTAATATTCACAAATCCCCAAAGATTTGGATCATTCGTGTATAAATGACCAGGTAAAAAGGTGGGGATTATTTTCCAAAACGATAAGACGTTTTAAATTTTTGATTCTTGTCAATTCAGGAGGATCCAAAAATATATAAAAGTAATCTAAATCCGATTAGGTTCAAAGCGTGCGTTTCACAAAAAAACTTCATAATTTTAGACAGCAGCAAATCTAAAACAAGACATTTGCGTAATTGTAAAAATATCACGTTGCACATGTGTTCCAAGATATCGTATAGATCTTCCTTCCAGCCAAAATTAACGTCGCAAATTTAAGGAAATGGGAAAAATCGGGATGACGTCTTTTCACAAAGATAGAGTAGTCGCACGTGTCAAAATTTGGACTTCATCACAAAATAAATCGATTAAGAAAAAAACATGCTTGAAAGAGGAAACTTTTTCAAAAACATTTTATAGTAAACTATAATAAAACAAAGACATCTTAATAATTATTGCTTCAACATAAGAAAAAATTTATTTTTCTACTTCTTTTTCTAGTTTATTAATATTTTAATTATGTTTTTAAAAAATCGTGTTCATTAATATAAAGGCAGAAAAAGATAAACTTTTCTACTTGGCCAAATTTTTTTCGAGGGTACGTTTTAATCAACCATTGATCATCTCTAAGTCAAATAAACTAAAAATAGGAGAAACTTTGAAAAACTCAAAAAGTGAAAATTAAATTTTTTTAATAATATATATTATTTTTATGATATATCAAACTGTATAGCTATTCCAAGAAAATTCAGTTCTACGTCACACAAGAATACCTGAGAAGCAAAAAATTCATAAAGCTTACAAAATCTTCTAATTCCTTGTCAAATTTGAGTAATAAAAAATGGGAAAAAAATCTGTGAACTTTAGAAAATGCCTAACATATCTTGAAAACCCTTCCCTGGCCAAAATTGTCTATCATAAAGACAATACGCATATTTTAACTTTTCCATAACTTATTTGCAGACAATTGAAATCCTATTTAATTATTTATTTATCATTTAATTGAAATTTTCGACCGACTTTTGAAACCTTGTCAGATATTAGTGACAAAACACTCTAAACACTGATCAATCAAAAGCTAAATCTCACGCGATTAGTTGTAATTGATAGCTCTTGAATTAAATCATTCACATATTTCAATTTTTGTAAAAAACAAATCATTTTTACACTTCCAAGACAATATATCCCCTCTTTCTTAAGAAAATTTTTTTTTTCAAATATATTTACCTATTTAAATAATTAAACAAAATAAAGTTTACTCCATTGAAGAGACCTGTTGTAAAGAATTTTAGATTCACTTCGTTCCACAGCGACGTTTGGGGCAAACTAAAATATCTGGCTTCTCCCACTACACCCACGCCATTTCAGTTTAATATAAACTCATTTTATAAATAGATACATTAAGACGAAACTTTTTTTTAAAACAATGTTACGAAATGAGTTAATAGTCAGATGACACGCTAGGTTCCAATTAATCATCAGACCCGATGTCACGACAGACATCTTTGATTTTTCTTCTCTTCCAACAGTTGAACTTGTATAAGTTTTTACAGGAAATTTTGAATTAGAGTTACCTTTAGGAACAAACCTGTATAAGGGCTACCATCACAAAGTGAAAATTTCAGCATCAAGTTGAAGGCGAATCATATTCATACATAAATACTGAAGTTGATACATTAAAAATGGAAGAAAATCTATAGGTACGAATCAAAGTATTTTGCAAAAGAAAAGAAAAACTATATATAACTATATAAAAAAAAGAACTATAACAAAATCAAATCAAAAAATGTTATTTAGAGGCAAAAAATTGCATAAAAGCATCATATTTCATTATCGGTTAAAATACATGAATATATATCTGTGTTATGACAAATTATCTCTACATAAGAGCAATGCAAACCGATCTCTTCGAATCGAGGTAAAGTGCATAATTACACTTTCTCTCAGACACATGTAGACAATATTCTTAGAAACTATGAATACAGCATTAAAACTGCATTTTCTCCCTCTCCTGACTAATCTTGCTTCAATGAGATATCTAATAATTGTTATTCACCTCTTTTTATACATGTAGTAGAACTCTTGTATCCAACTTTAAATAAAGTTCTTAGTATCTCCAAGTTTAAATAAAAGTTCTTTTCAAAAACAATTTTGTTGATTTGCCTGAGGAGTTTTTATAAATTAGTGATTTGAATGATTCATGATTCAAAACTCTGAGCCATCAGCTTGGTTATAAAGTAATTCGGGTTCACTGAGGAAGGGAGACAAGGAGTAGAAACAATAGTGGACCTAGTATTCTCCCTTGTAGCACTCCCACATTATTGTTCCTCACGGAAAGTGACCACACCATTGCTGACTGATTGATATTCAAACTTTCAAAGTTGACTTCTTATGTAAGCTGTGATAATCCCCTACTCTGGTTTTGCAAGCAGGATATAACTAACATCCAGGAACTGTAATTACATCGAGCTGTTTAAACTTTGAGGAACAGCTATTTTTATATCTCAGTCCAAGAATCACTCTCAAACCTCTCTTTTGAAGCTAAAAAACATGCAGGCTCATATCACCGCTCAGAGTTCAATGCCATATTTATCATGTCATAACATAACAGAGTATAAGCTGTTAGCAGTTGAGCCTGGTGTACAACTGGTTTCAATCTCAGTCCAAAACACACAGGGAAGATATGACAGTCAAAACAAAGGCTAGAGTAAAATCCAATTGCCCAATGGAAAAATTAACAGGGATACCAATGCTACAAATTCTTGTCCTACTGAAAATGACACATGATGAGTTAGAACAACTCAAGTCAACCTTGCCCCAAATATTTCAGCAGTTAAGCAGCAACATGATGAAACAAGTCAATGTATATAGTAAAAAAAAGATAGGACCTAGTACAGACCACTGAGATACTACATCTATCCTTACAGACTTCACTTTGTCAAATAAGAAATTCTATTTTTACCAATATTATTGTTTCTTTTTTTTTACTGTAAGAATGAGTTTATAAAATATTTTATCACTTTTAAAATATACACATATTAAAGACATAACTAAACATTGTATATTCAATTGCTGAAAAATAAAACCGTATTCGCTCTCCACTTCATAACAAGGCTATTATTTGAATTCAATTATCACTCGCATCAATATGTAATGTAATATTTGCATATAATCGGAATATCATTCGCCAAACTGCACATGTTCGGCTTCTTTCCAGGTCAAGGTCAAGGATGTGGATAGATAGATAAACCATTTGACTAATAAATTAAAAATGTACAGCCGAATATATTTTCTACAGCTCAGCCATTTCATTTTGGCTCGTCAGATGCATTTCGACCTTTTGCCATATTCAAAGGATGGAAATGATCAGAAATGACTCTGTTGAAATCGAGAGGAAATATCTCAACTCTCAAATTAACTTTTTATTTAAATTAACTTTGCTTTCTGTTAAATTATCTCAGGTTTCAATATTTTTGAAGTTACCTTTGGTTGGACAAACTCCATAAAATATTGATACATGATATAATTGAAATTTCAACGTCAGTACCCAAGCATCATCAACTATGATTAATTACATGGAAAATTGGTTAAACACAATTTAACGGTGTTGGTTAAGTCCACAAACACATGAACTAGCAAAGAGTGCGCACGTATTTTGTACATTTATGTATTTTGATGTTGCTAAAACACCCCTTACCAGGGCAGCAAAGGCAGCTTGTAAAATATGTTCTATGTTGGGTGATGAAACAATATGTGAGCCTACTATGCACTATAAAACTGCCACATGGTCAGGCCATCACCGTTTAAATCAACTCAAGCCAACTACAATGAATATCTCTTGCCCTGACCCATAAACAACTTGCTCCCTTGAACAGAAAAGGTGCGATTTTTCACCAGGACAATGTGGGACCTCATACAGTCAGAATGACAGAGATAATGAAGCTCGGTTGGCAAGTCCTACCACACCCTCCATGCTATTCAGACCAGCACCTTCTGACATTCATCTTTTCTTAGCAATCATATGGGCAATGAGGCGTTCAATAATCGCCAACAGGTTGAAAACAAGCAAAATTCATTTTTAAGTCCCTGGACTCAACAGAAAGGCATAACTGGGGGGCTAGTAACATATTAGAAGGTTGTAGGTGCCGATGGATATTATTTCCCCAAATAAAGAATTTCAAGTTTAAACTCTTTTAACCTGCACGAACTTTACTGGTTGCCTGGTAACTAGTCAAAATCTATAAGGCTTGTTTAGAGACTATAAAATAGGCATATAACAAATAATGGGCATCAGGATTTACAAAAAAAGAAAACACTTTTTATGTTATAAATGTTTAAAATAATTTAAAACTATTGTAAAAATGAAAACAAACTGGTTAAAAATAAAGACACTAAAAATTTATAAACATTTTTATTTATTAACTTCTTTGTTTACTATCACAACTTTGACAATTTTAAGTAGAAAATTAACGTGCAAAAATCACCTGTGACTATCACAGTGGAAATGTTTCATTGAACTAAGTGAAAAATGGAACTTTGAACAAGATTCTTTAGTTTAATTTAACATGACGTATAATAACGAAAAAACCTATACTAAGAAATAATTAGGGAACAAAAACCAAAATGCATAATAATATCCCTAAAATTAAATAATACTAATTTCAAAATTCAATTGAATCTTGTTTCATATTTTAACCTTTTTTTTCTCCTTTTTCTTTCATTTTCTTTGTAGATACCTTTTGAACAATACAACATTGTGAAATTTAAGCTTTTTGTGTGTGTGTGTGTGTGTGTTTTATAACTACTGTTCACATATAGTAGAAACCTCGTGGTATCAACACCAAAATGGTTTAGTCAATACCAGTCATAAAATAACTATAGTGTACCAATAGCCGAAAACACAAGTTTAAGAAAAATACGCTCTATTCTTCACTACACAACTATTTTAGAATAAATTGTGTAGATAGCAGTGAAGAATAAAGCTGAAATTAACCTCAGCAACCTCCAGTGTCCAACACCTCTCCTGAGGACTTAGTAATAGTCATAGTAGTAAATACCTAAAAATTCAATAGCAATTAGAAGAATTTTTTAGTATTAGAAAATGGTTTTTATTATTTTTTTTAATCTTGTCTTCTTTTAAGAAAAACTAAGAACCTCCAAAAAAGAAGTGCAAGTGTGAAAAGTGTTTATATTAATTAATGTTAAAATAATTAATAATTGTTACCTCGGCATTGGTTGGATGGATGCCAACTAGACTATCGAAATCATCTTTACTTGCGCCCATTTTCAGAGCTAGAGCGAAACCTTGGGTAATTTCACCAGCATTTGGTCCAAGAACGTGCAATCCAATCACTTTCCACTTCTAAAAATACAAACAAAAATTATCATTGATAATTTTTGTTTTCTATTATTCTGTACAAACTTTATTAAAACTAACCTTGTCTTCCTTTTTGCAGACTAATTTTGCGAAGCATAAGGAATCAAAGCGTTCAGACAATACGCTCTCCAACGGCTTGAAAATGTTGTGAAACACTTCAACGTCTGTGTACTTCTCTCGTGCCGATTCTTCAGAATATCCAACGCATCCGTACTCAAGAGGGGTGAACACAGTAGTGGGGACGTTTGTATAGTCCATAAGCGCAGTCGAGATACCAAACAAACGCTTAAAAAATACAAATATTTAAACTTCAACTTTCTCTATATTTGAGAGAAGAAAAAACAGTATATGGAAAAAGTAAGATGTTTGAGGTAAATAATTATGATTAGGAGGCTAGGGATTGTATATTGAGTTCCGCTTAATCCATCCTTAATTCCCATTATGCAAGACTGGCATGATGGACAGATGGCAGGACAATAAAAAATAAATCCCGTCTTACATTATCAAGATCATTCACTCCAACCTTAAGAGAGGACTCTTTTGAGTCTCCTGCAACAACATCCTGTCCATATCATAATTCCACACTGGTGTGTCTCAGGGTCCCATATTGGGGCCCTTGCTGTTATATTCTTCTATTGCTGCCAAGCTAAAACTATAACTATATGCACCTGGCTTTACTGACATCCTAGATAAAAACCACAGTAGCTAAACACATGACCTGGCTTTAGCTGAAATAAAAGCTTAAAATAAACCCGATAAAGACAGAGGCAATTTTATTTGCCGAGGGCCATCTGACTGTATTACCTACCCAGTAATAGATAAAACATTAGCGTTGACCCACCACATATAAAGTAGACTAGATAAAGGCCAGGAGACCATCAGATTCTTTTCATTTTTTTCGCAAGAGAATCCAAGATGACTCCACTTGTCAACATGAATGGAATGAAAGAATCGAGGTATGACAGAGAATTGCATCATTCTTCAATAAATGCCTCTACAACTGGAACCTGTCAGACACACAACCTGCAATGTTTCTAGAGTGAAAAACATCCTTCGGAAAGCTCAGCCAAGGAAATAACCCTAGTCAAACACATCCAACCGTGATATTCCTAGATAACAAGAAAAGTATCTAAAACCTTCTCCTAACATAACTACTCCAGTGATGCTCTTTGTATATAAGTTTCGATCTTAAAAACTTAAAAAATAAATTCAGCTCATTTTCTAGATGTTGGAATTTATTGAACCCCCAATTGCACATATTGTTCATAGCTAAGAAATTGTGAAAGTCAGAAGGGGCCAGGTGTGTTGAGTATGAAGGGTTTAGTAGTACTTCCCAGCCAAGCTTCATTATCACCGTCATTCCAGCTATATGAGATTGCGCATTGTCCTGGTGAAAAATTAACACCTTTTCTGTTCACGAGAGCAGGGTTTTTTTTCTGGATTTAGGCAAGAGATACTCATTTAAGTTGGCATGAGTGGATTTCAGCAGTATATGGTAGGTGGCAGTTTATAGAGCACAGTGCCCGCTGTTTGCACCAAAAAGGATTCGGTTTCATTTGGTATGACCTCCTGGTGTTACTGTACAGAATCCATTTTTTGTCTTATGTGATGATAATCCTCCTTCCATCATTCAGATTGCAGCATGGTGTAATTCTAGACGGACTATGAATAAAACAATACACTTTAACTACCCCAAGGAAATTAAAGAACTCATGAGCCAAAATGAAAGGCTACGAGAAGATGGCAACAATCAAGACTGCAGATAAAAACATTCTTAACAACATGATCAAAAAATTAAAAGAAAGTTAAAATCTACAATGACAACTCAATGTGGAAGGCAATTTAAAAAAAAAATTAAAATACCAATTGCCCAAATTCCTCCATTAAAAAAGAGAGGACGGAACATGGGATAGACACAGCAAAATAAAAGCCAAATTTTTTGCCAGAAACCTTGCTGAAATTTTTAAACCAAATCAAAATATCAATGGTAGCTCACTTGAGGTAACAACCATTCCACAAGAAGAAAATGTAAAGCTAGTTACATCTAAAGAAATAGCACAACAAATTATAACTTTACCTGATAAAAAGATTCCAGGCTATGACCTTATTTGTCACTAGAGAAATATTGAAAAACTTGCTGAAAAAGGGGTTAGTTTAAACTAACATACCTATTTCATGGTGCAATCAGACTGAAATATGTTCACTGTCTGAGAACGCATTTCAAAAAATTGACTACTTTTTCTTACTTTTTAACTCCAATACAAAGAACATGTAACATGTCAAGGTTTTTTTTTTGGAAACTTTTGTTTTTTAAATTGAGCACTTCTGGTGCTCAAAATTGCCAGCCAATCGAGTTTAATAAATTTAATTATTATTATTTATTTTTTTGTTTTAGGTCAGAATTGGTGAGAGTGCCTTAATGGCATTAAAACAATAACAAACGAAAAATACATGAATTTATCAGACTGCTTCAGTAGGGCTGTGCTTGTCTAAAACATTTGTTCTAACAAAGTGGGTGATTTATTTTATTAGTTTCCTCCACAATGATTAAAGTTATTGTACCGTTAATAAACCTGTCAAATTAATTTTCAAAATGAAGCTCAAGTTATGGTGGCCACTGGCACTCAGAAACATTGTTTGTTTTTGCCTTTTTTGGTTAAACTGTTGTGAAGAAAGTAGTTAAAAAGTTTGTTTGTTTTTTTCTGTGGAGGGGATGGAATTTATAGCTTAAGATTAAGCGTCAACCACCATACAAATGGACGTAAAGCTCATACCTTTGCAAGCAATCTTCCTGCCTTGATGGCAACCGGTGTCAGTTCCAGGCCGACATCAGCCACATCCCCAATTGCAAATATATTAGGAGCTGTCGTTTGTTCTTTATTGTTCACAAAAATCTTTTTTGATCTGAAAAACAACATAATAAAGCTAACAATGCACAGTTGTTAATAATCTTATAACCGGAAATGATCAATTACTTAGGATTCACAAAGATTCCGGCATTTTTCAATCCCAAACTGTCAGTCTGGGCTTCTCGGCCTGTGGCGAACATTACTGTGTCGTATAATTCTGCAAACGGTTTTCCGTCATCGTAAGTTCCTTCCACCTAAAAGTGAGGCATTATCACAAGCCAATATTAAAATGTTTCATTAATTTTAAAAACAGTTAAAAATTGCTTACTTTCAATTTTTCACCCTCCTTTGTTACATTCGTTGGAATGCAGGGTCTAACAAACTTTATACCAAGATCTTTCATGCTTTTCCCAATTTTTTCAGCAATCTCTTGATCAAACCCACGCAGAAGAATTGACCGGACCTGTTCATACCCAATGGATTAAAAATAAAGTCATTTGATAAAAAAAAAAAAACTATAAGTATGAATATTTACCATAACAGTACAAGGTATACCGAGTCCTGCTAAAAATCCAGCACATTCAAGTGCTATATATGAGGCTCCAACGATCAACGTTTCACCTGGGTTATTTTTCAGTGAAAATAAATCGTCTGATGTAATACAATATTCTTTGGCGCCGCTTATGTTCGGATAAAAGGGTCTCAAGCCTGACGCAATGATGAACATGCGACTGGTAACATTTTTTGTGTTACCAGAAGCGTCAGTAACCTGGAATGATGAACGCGAGACTGTATTAAAACAAAACTAAAGTTGATTTATAAATACTAATCATTCGTTCCAATTTTTTTCCTTTCCAATTTTTTTCTTATCACTGAACTAATTCTATTTCAAATAATTTTGGGGACTTTTTGATAAGATTATTTTGAAAATGATGTACATTTAAACTTTCCTATTGTGATTGTTATTATTTCCAAAATTTCCCAGAAATGAATTACCGGAAAGGCTAGATTAAATAATTCTTATTTCTAATGAAATAATTATTACTTTTGATTTGAAACAATCTTGAGTTATATGGTTTAATGTTTGAACAACTGGCAAACAAGAAAAAAAAGATGTTAGACATGACCTTTAGAACAAGATTAGAAGAAATAAAAGTTGAGATATTGATGTTTTATCATTAATTAATTGTACAACTACTATTTTAACAATCAAATCTGCAAATAATGAAAAAAATCTGAGAATCTTTTCAAATTTACCTGAACAGTGTGATTATCAACGAATTCAGCATACCCATTCATAACAGGGATTTCATTTTTACGTAACTCTTTGCGGTAATTAAAATTTAATGATTTGATATAATTGCCAATGTTTTCAACCAATGTATTCCAATTGTGGGGCTCCTCTGAAATAAAAAAAAAAAAAAAAATCGATAAGAACATGCGATAATTATTTTAAATTTGTATAAATTACTGGATGTTGGCCATCCGAAGGATGCAGCATCAGCCAGATCGTGGTGAATTAACGAAGCCCTGTGCATAAGTTTTTTAGGAATGCAACCAACGTTTACGCACGTCCCACCAATGCCCCATTTCGATCCTCTCGGGCTGGGATGAACAAAGTCGCAGAGGGCTACTTTTTTGGAATACTTTCTGGCTTCCTGCAATATGGGAGATGGTAAAATCTGAATGGTGAAAAAATTAAAAGTCTTACTTTAACAGCGGCTATTCCTCCCGAGCCGCCACCGATTACGAATAAATCGTATTCATACGGAATTCCCATGACTGTATCATACAGTAGTCCAACTTCGGCAATTGCATTAAGATTAGAAAAACCACCAATATGCTTTCCATTTATAAAAATACTTGGAACTGTTTTCTGCCCTGTCATGTCCAATAACTTTTGCTGGATTTCGTCCCCTCCATCTTCAGTTCATAGAAAGATAATTTTAATAAAACATTGATAGTCTTTTTATTTGAAGAAGTCCTCATTATAAACACTTACCAACTGCATCGAGTTCAATATGAGAAAATGAAATCGAATGCTCTTTTAGCAATTCTTTGGTCTAGAAAAGAGAAAAAAAAATATTTCCGTACAAAATAATTTTTTTTAAGCAAACAATATAATACACAAGATACACAACTGATATAATTTTTATAAGAAATTACTGTTTATTCAACATTTATCCATAGCTAAGATTTGGGGTCTGGAAAAATGTCTATTATCTTCTAATAAACTAAGACTTTTTTTTGTAAACATTAATGTTGTAACACTAATGAGTTTCATTTCTATTGTTTACAAAATAAATCAAAAACGGATAAACTGTGAAGTTGTATTTGGGTTTAGAAGTTAAAAAAAAGTCAGCAGATTTTTTTATTTATTTATTTTTTTTTATTTATTTTTTTTGAGAGAGAGAGAGAGAGAGAGAGAGAGAGAGAGAGAGAGAGAGAGAGAGAGATTTCTTCTTGAGGTCTGCAGGGTGATAAACCTATTGTTTAATAGTTACCTAGGTAGACCAATCTTGGTCTGACTATCCTCACTAATTTGGTTCAGATGCGTTTCAGCATTTCCTTCAGTATTTGGATGATTTCTCATGAGTTTTTCTTGTATATTTTGGACAGTCATATTTCAGACCATTTTCACTGTGTACATTGATACAGAAATTTCAATATTGGTCAATTCTGGTCATTTTAAGACGTTATTGTTGTAGTGACTTTCTGGGCACACGTTTCTGTACACTTAGATAAAATACTTAAGATTAATTTCATGGATAATAACACTTGAATTTATTAAAACCAATTTTTTTTATTTTGTTCGTTGGTCTAACTATGCATTTAAATGGCGAAGGAGTTATTTTCCATTTTTTTCGTAGATGATACTGATTAGATAAGCAAACTAAGATTTATTCAAAGGTTGAATAATCTGCTTATACCTTAGCCATTATAAAATATCATTTGTGAAAGGTAAGAGAGGCAATGAAGTTCTCAACTACAATAATTTTTTGTAGTATAAGTTTGGAATTAAAACTGAAAAATCGTAAGACGTTCGTGCACTGGTAGTAAAAAATAGGCTTAAATTTTACACTTTTTTCAAGTGAGAACACCAAACCATCATTATAAGGTTGAAATGGACAAAGCAATTTGTACTAGTTTACTGCCTTTGAACCTCCCTCAACGGAGCACAGTGAAGTAAACCGGTTCACACCTAGGTTTTAGTAACCAGCAATGGTCAGCTAATTTCGACAATTACTAGCTTTATCAATGAAGAGATTCTTTATGCGGGAAAAATTGTTCCGAGAGTCTAGCTTTACATAACAACCCTATGGGCACCGATTGCTCTTAGGAGTCTTCTGGTGAAATATTCTGACCAAGCCAGAAAGATTTTTTTTTTTTTTTTTATAATTCCATGAGCTATAATCACTGTCAGACGACAGTGAGTTGGTCAGATGCGTTTCGGTTTCTCGACATCTTCAATGGGGGAAATATAAAGAAAAAGGATGATCGAAAATACTGACCAGAACAATAGAAAACCCAAACTTAATACATCAAAGACACCAACTAAGAAAGATAACCTCTTACAACCTTATAAAACAGACTATGCATCTGATAGTCAAAACAGGAAGAAAGGCAGACCAAGATCATCGGTACCAATAAAATTATATGCCAAGGAGGAAATCTCACAGCCTAATTTGATTAACCATCATGCCGAACTCAAGTGGTTATTTAAAGTCATAGCTGTGATGATCATTACTGATCACTTTAGTCTGCCTATCCTCAATGGTTTGATCTGTCAGACGCATATCGGCAAATCGCAATCATCATAAGAGACACCATCTGGAGAAAATTAGACACCCAAAATGATTGGAAATGACCAAGCTACATATTCAAATACAACAGAACCAACCAAGCAATATATTCAAGCTGGAATAATTTAAAAATATCATTTATTTTGATTGCTAATGATCATCTTCTGCCCATGCTCGCTGGTTTGGTCTGCCAGACACATTCTGGAATTTTGTAACCATCACAGCTGATCCATCTGGGGAAAATAAGAATCATTGGAAATTAATAATTTGTTCTGATCGTTACTGATCATCTTTATCTGCTTATCCTCGATGGTTTGAACTGTCGGATGCATATCGGCATTTCGCAATCATCATAAGTGACAATGTCTAGAGAAAAAAAGACACCTAAAATGATCGCAAACGACCAAGCTGCAGGTGGAAATACAACAGAGAAACTGAAGATGACGAGAACCAATCAAGAGATACATTCAAGCTAGAATCTTTTAAAAAAAAGCATTTATTGTGATCGCTAATGATCATCTTCTGCCCATGCTCACTGGTTTGGCCTGTCACACATTCTGGAATTTTGTCACCATCACAGATCATCCATCTGGAGAGAATAAGACACTTAAAATGGTCGCAAATGATCAAGCTGCAGTAGAAATACAACAGACAAACTGAAGATGGCGAGAACCAAGTGATACTTTTGAGCTGGAATCATTAGAAATCAATAATTCAATATGATCGTTACTGATAATCTTTATTTGCCTATCCTTGATGGTTTGATCTGTCAGACGCATATCAGCATTTTGACACGTGACACCGTCCGGAGAAAATAAGACACCCAAAATGATGAAATCGTAAACAACCATCTTCTGGCCATCTTAACTGGTTTTGGTCTGTCAGTCGTATTCCAAAATTTTGCAATCATAGGTGATACCATCCGGGGAAAATAAAGCACCCAAAATGATTACGAACGACCAAGATACAGATTCGAATACAATACACATCGCACGCCATCATCAGGGTGAAATGGAGAAACATGTCCGATAAACAAACCCTGCAAGGATAGGCACACCAAGATTATCATTAATGATCAAATAGGTTCATCTCAGACCAAAGGATGAAATCTCACAACTTAGAAACTTAGAAAATGTCTGCTCTGAGAAGTTTCAAAGACCCTAAAAATCACATTTTTGGCTATTACTTCAAAGCTAAAAAGCTCATTTTCCTCCGTATCAAAACTGAATAGGCTTTTTTTTAATATGAATTCTTAAATTTCAGCTGTGTTAATAGTAGATAATGCACTACACTACATGAAGGAAATCTAGGACAAGGTTGAACGATCTCGGACTTTGGATTATTCAACAACCCTAACCAAGCTTCACAAGTTTAATTAAACCTTAATTTTTTTTTCAAAGAAATTCCTTGTTAAATTATAAAAAGAGAATGGTACGATTTTTTTAAAATTTTGTGTGAGTGATTATTCAGCATGTGTTGCACGAGGGTTTAAGTATTTCAATTGTCAGTTGGTTAACTTACCTTGGTGCAGAAGGGACACCAGCTCTTGCTAAATATGAAAACTTTGTTTTCAGAGATATTCTTGTTAATAAGTGCAGAAGCACTGTCTGCGGCCGTTGTAGCCATGCTCGTCGATCTGAAAAAAGTATTCACATTCAAAACGTTCGACGAACACGATCGACGTGCCCTTCGGCTGAGAATGAACGCACACTCTGCACGTCGAAGTTCGAGTGAACTGATCGGGGAGTTTGAAGATAAAAGAACCTTTTCAAGGTCGGCCGGGGACACGTGCGCCGACAAGTGACGTCATTTTCACGGCAAAACTTTTTAAAACAATGAACTAACAAGAAAATTACTTTTTATGATTTTTTTTTCGACTTTGTAAAAGGCGAACTTCAAAATTGATACCGCAAACGCGAGAGAAAGCTGGGAATCTTCGATGACGCAAGTATGCAATTTCAGTGGGAAATGACGTAATGCTCTATTCTCAGAGCCGGGACCGGTGATTCATCTTATCCATTTTCAATGCACTAAGAAAACCCAATTAATTTATTATTTCCTCACCCTTAAAGTGGATTTGAATTGTTTTTATTTGTCAGTTTCATCGGAAAAAAATACAGTTCAATTTCATGGAGATTGGTAATACTTTTACCAAATTCATCATTTGTCACAAATAACCCACACTTAAATAACATCAGACATCGCAGAGACACTTGGCATATCCCATACAATGGTTTCAACGCATCTGAATTTGTATGTATTCAGATTGTATGTATTTGTCAGAGAGTCATACACGGTTGACACGGACACTTTTGAAATTGTGTCCACCTGGATGTGTCCCAAATTGCAGGGCGTCATGTGTCATGTCAGGTATGCCCCCCCCACTGTCAATAGATGGTCCTCGGAGGATCTGACTCATTGAAGTAGGATCATTCACACCTGATTAAGAATGGGCCATGGGTTGACACACGGACACTTTTGGTTCTAAGCTCATACGTTTCCAGCATGAAGAGAAAAGTTGACAGATCCCCACCTACTTGAAGGGTGCAATTCCTTGGTCCCATACAGAGTGCGTAGGAACGTCACCCGATACAAGTCAAATCTGACGAAACCACAAGAAAACTGTCACACTAATGGTCAAAGGTAAAACATACGAACAAAGCCTAGACCAGAGTACACCTGCTGGTGGAGCAAGAAGAAAAACTCAGTCTATCTTAAATCATGACAATTACAGAATAGCAAGATCTACGTGAGTATTGAGCCCAAAGACATTGGGAATCTGTATAAATGTTTAATAATACCGATAAAAATACCAAACCTGAGAAGTAAAATCTAACGTTGAACAGTCAGAGGATATCTTATTTAGATGCATCAAAGATAGGACTTCGTCACATACCCAATATCACCTATGCTCAACCTATAGACATTTATTTATTTTATTTATCGTTAAAGTACAAATAGGGCTTTAAGCCCCCTTACATGTACATATATTAGAAATAAAGTTTGTATTATAAGCAAAGTAAAATAATAGTAATCGCAATAATTATAATAATAATAAATACAATAATATACAAAACAATGACAATATGTTCTTTCAAATACTAGTTATTTATAAATGAATGATGAAACCACATGACAAATAAAAGCAGAAAGAGAAGAAAGGTAAAAGGAAATGGTAAAAAGAAAACGAAGAGGGGAGAAAAGGAGATAATCATGTTGTATTCATAAGCAAAGATGCCCTGGACGTGAAACAAGCCAGTGAGGAAGCAGAATGTACTTTCTGGGGAAGCAAATTCCATAGACTTGACCCTGCAATTCTGAAGGATAAGGTTAAAGTTTTAGAATATTGGTGCATTTGGATAAGGAATGTGGGACAAAAATTGTATTGAGGACATTTATTTAATTTTAAATATACATATTAAAACTCTAAGTTTATAAGAACGATGCTGAAGACGTTTATACAAGAAGAAATATGATGATCTTGGTATAAGATCATAGCAGTATCTAATGCAGTAATTATACGAAATTTGAAGGCGATGAGCAGAATTAGACTCTAAGGAAAGTGAGAAAAAAAATAGCACTACAATAAGAGAATAAAGGAATTATTATGGTTACATAAGGAGAACTCTAGTTTTTTGTGGAGTGAAAAAGAAGGCGTCAAAGAAAATGGAGGCTTGAATAGACCCTTTTAATAATAGGGCTAACATGGTCATGTCATGTGAGCTTGGAGTTAAAAATAAAGCTGAGATTTTTAACTTTAGGACAAAAATTAATAGGGGAGCTGTTGATATGAGGAGGAGCTAGGCAATCTGTTCCAATGGGTTTATTGGGAATTAATTAGGGCTGTGATTTCTTAGGGTTTAAAAGAATACCGTTATTTCTTGGCCATTGGTCGCGGTTGAGCGGAGATCTTCTGAGATGTTGCATGTAGGACACTGAATGTAAATCTGAGTCATCTTTGAAAGTAAAATGCTACAGAACAAAATGAAGAGACTGCCTAACCTAGCGCAGGAGGATAAAAATAAATAGGTAATGAATACTAACCCATTATCGAGGCAAGAAAAAAAAAAAAACATGAGTAACCCCACTGATTGATGATAAAAGTGATGTGTCGTTCATGCACTCGCAGACCAATAACAACCAAAAGATGTTTAGTTTTTGATTGAAGTAATTCTGTTCTTTCAACAAGAGCCAGTGATATTGCAAACATTATATTTCCCAATAGGATAATTTTTTATTTATTTTTAAGATTTAAATTTGAGTAGTTAAACCATATACGTTTTAGTGGACAATTGATCATGTTACTTCTTTCAATTAATTATTCTTTTTCTCTAAGGTCTTGGTTGAGTAGTTAGTTTAATGAATAGTCATGTACTAATGGCATTTTTTTTTCTTTACCGTATAAGCATCCGCCACTCCAGATCATCAACTAGGTTAGGGGCTTGGCAGAAATGTATATTTTTATTTTTTTTTGACGTTTCAACTTTTATGAACCAGATAAATGACAGTAAATATTTTATTCTTCGAAATCGTACATACATACTTTCAGAACAAAAATAAACATAATATGGTTTAAAAAAAGAACAAAATAAACATACAAAAAAGAAGGAAAATGGATAATGATATATTATTTTAAATAAACGACTGTGTAAAATTACAAATACATAAGCGCGGGTAAAGAAAGTGAAAAATTGAAGATTGAAGAATAAAGAACGATGGCGGCTCTTTGAAAAGTCCGATTCAAACGAATCATTCTCTTGAGTCACGGGTGAACCATGTTATCTTATAAATATAGCAGAACCTTCAGGTTTCAAACTTCATACTTTTTTAGTACTTCGTTTGAACCATTCAAATAATTTCTTTGATAAAACAAAACCGTTATTCATGTAGATGTTTGTCAAGTTTTTATTAAAATCTATTAAGTTTAAAGCCTGTGTTTTACGGTTTTTCGATACCTTCAAACCTACGATTCGTTCAGTTTATTTTCACCGTTTGCAAGCTTGTACACTACGAACTTTTTCGCATCTAAACACCAATTTCTAGACGGAAAAGTAAAGAAAAAGGACACTTTCCGATATTGTTTTTTCATTTAATCCATAGCCGACGGGCAGTCAATTCCGTATGAGAATGAATCAATCTTCACCTGGAAAATTTCCTCAGGTGAACGACCAATGTCCGGACAGGGCCAGAGGTGGTGTACAACCGTATAGCACATCGGCACATTTTCTCCTGTGTGAGTCGGAGAGGGCCGATTCTAAGCCTGGGAACGGCATGTCGAACTGCCTCACGACAAATTTGCATCCGTGTCGATTATCCTTCTAGTCTCGGATGGCCTTTTCACCGATAGTGATAACGTCCGACTAAGAAATGTGAATCCACACCACACGGCCCGTGGTGACTTTTTTCACTACCGTGTCGTCATCGATCTTTCTTGGCGTGGGTTCGTTGTATTATGAAATCTTATTCGCCCTTTGCCAATCGCAGCAATTTTATTTCAATTTGAACGCACAGTCGAAAGTTGGCCATAAACCGTGGATTCGTTTGTCAGGCGGAGAAACGACAGTTTTAACAGTTAGTGTTACAAATCTGAGGGTTGAGGAAAAAGGTCGAATCCGAGTGTTCGAACGACCGTTCCTAAACAATTACAATATCGTTCATTTATGGGAATATAAATAATAAGAACGACAAATCGAATTTAATTTATTGAGGAGCAAAGCCGTTCCTTTTGAAGAATAGTTCCCTTCGGGACAGTTCGTCTTATTGAACTAGTTCGATGAACTATATCGAACGAATTAGGTAGGTCATGCTTTTTTGGGAAACAACACTTTTTTATGTTGGTTTTAACGTATTTCACGTAATTTTTAAAATAAATTACATTTATAGCGTATAGAAAACGCCAAAACTAAAAAAGAACTAAAATTCTCTAAAATATAAAACCGGCAATATAGTTATTTTTCGGGAGTAGTTCATTTGAACTAGTTCGTTCTTTCGAAATAGGTTGTACAGGAATTCATGCAAAACAAAAATGTTTTTAAGTGAGTTTGAACTTATTTCGTCACCATGGCTAATATGCTAGATCATAACGCAAAAAAAAAAAATTCCTGTTATTTTCGAGAAAAAAATTAATGCAGGATAGGAAAGGATAACTGAAAAAAAAAAAAAAAAAAAAAAAAAAAAAAAAAAACTAGTAGAAATGATGGAAGTGGGATGAGTAAAAAAAAATAACTGTAGTTCTCTAAAAAATAGAGAAGAAAAAGAATGTAGTTCCTTTTCGGGAATAGTTAATTTGAACTAGTTTGTTCATGAACTACAAATCTCTAAGTTAATTTATTGATGGGCGAAGCCGTTCCTTTCGGGACAGTTCGTCTTATTGAACCAGTTCAGTGAACTACATCGTACGGACTAGGTTGTTCTTGCGGTCATCCTACAAAAAAGAAATTTTTTGAATGATTTTAAATTATTTCCAGTTGTTTTTGAGAAAAAAATTAATGCAGGATAGAAAATAAAATAAAAACGTAGAAATAATGAAAGTGGGATGAGTAAAAAAAAGGAAGAATAGTTCCCTATAAATAAAAACCGGCAATATAGTTCTTTTTCGAGAATAGTTCATTTGATCTAATTTGTTGATGAAATTCTCTAATTGAATTTAATCTTCCGTTTGTAAATAAATAAATTTTGTAAATGAAATTTTTGAATTGTGTGAAATGTGTGTGGGTCGAGAAATGCGTCGGGGAATTCGACGGCGGGAGCGGCTGCAACACTGCATCTCCCGACCTCCCATCACGAAGGTTTAGGTTATCGTTATAAACAATGTTTATCAATTGATCTTCCATCGACGAAACTTTGCATTTCTCGTGTTGAGAGGCTTTTTTCTCCATCGTGAAAATGTAATCCGTCGGCGACGGGCCTGGAGCGAGCGAAGTTTTGTGACCGAGGCACCTGCCGGCCTCCCTGAACTTCCCAGGAGTCAATGTTCCATTTGGTACCAAGAAAGGGGCGAACGTCTTCTACGAATATGCAGACGACGGCATTCCTCTTCCTCGCCCTCCACCTCGCACTCGCTGGTAAATAACTTACACAAATCAATTATACTTTTAATAAGAGTTTTCCTCAAATTGGTCTAAAGTACGGATGCTAATGGTTAACTGCATCCTACACGTTCAATTTATCTGTCAGTTAATTTATTTAGAAATCGTGAGATTCTATCAAAATGGAATCCAGATCGGGTGACTGAACTGAACAGTTGTTCATTGTAAATGGACAGGGTCTACAGAGAAGCTCTCACATATCAAGATCACTAGATGGGTGGCCCTCGGAGGATCTGATTTACAGAACAAGGTTTATCATCATCTGATGTAGGATAGACCATGCGATATTAACACACGAACACTTTTGGGCCAAAGCCTGCGTGTGTGTCCAGCATGCGGAGAAAGATGCTCGATGTGTTCCACGTAATGAAGGTTGTTATTCCTTGGCTCCATACAGAAAGTGTTTTGGAATACCTTTCTCGCACAAGAGCACTGTCTATAGATAGCCCTCAGAGGATCTGCCTTATAGAAGAAAGGTCATCTTCATCTGATTGAGGATAAACAATGCGATGTTCATACACGTACACTTCTGGGACAAAGGCTGCATTTGTGTTTAGCATGCAGAGAAGTGTTGCTTGAGGTGACCCACCTAACTGAAGGTTGGCATTTCATGGCTCTGTAAGCAGGAACACGATTTTAGAATTGTGCTTGGGCAAAGCTGTAAGTATTTGGGTCCCCGTTCCAATTCTTGGAGGAAACGTGGTTGTACTAATACTCATCCATAGGATTACTGACATTCTTTGATTCACACGGAGAAACTCGCAATTTTTCTTTTCTGTGGATGCTTCAGCTCTGGAAAAGGAGAAAAATTAATTACAAAAAAAAGAAGAGTATGAACCAAAAAATGCTTTGTTTGGAACATATATATGGTGTGGTAAACCCACTCCAAGAATTTTGCAGCTTAAAAGTCAGTGAGAAATAAAGTTTGCATGTAGCTTTGCAAAATTTTTCATTCATCGAGTGAAACAGATCACCTGAAAGAGCTGTCAGTTAAATTGAATCTAGATTGGAAGAAGAAACTGAACGATTTACCTGAACTGAGCGGCTGTTGCCACAGCTCAGTTTTTACATCCAGTTTCTCTTTTTCCCCCTTTCAGTTATATAGTTACATTTTTCCTTGTTGCACATGAAAAACTCACAATTTTTCTTCTTGGTGGATGCTCAGCTCTGGAAATGAGAAATAAAAAAAAAAAAAAAACAAGAAAAGACACTAAACACTAAGACATCTGTGCTAAGAAGAAGTATGGTCTTATACTAGTTGGCACAACTCAGTTTTTACATCCAGCAGTTTCTTCATATTTTCTTGATCTCGCATTTTTCCTTTCGGTGGATGTATGTTGAACTCTGGAAAAGGAGAAAAATGAACTTGCTTTCACTGTTGAAGATTATTGAATGTACTTTATACAAAATTATTAATACTAATTTCAAATTACTGTCACTTCATTTGAATTTAGTAGATCGATTATGGTTAATTTGTTTTTTTTTGGAGGCTCATTTTTCGTACTTCCTATTCAGCTGATTGTAGCTGATTAGGAGTCAGCATGTTTTTTTTCCTATTAAAAAGACTGGAATGGTATAGCTATTTTTTTAAACAATCATGCACTAATATAATGCATTTTTTCATGTTTGTTTGGACCTTTATTCTGTTTAACCAACAATCATGAATTTTTATTGCTGTCAATAGTTGCTTACACGAAGAAGCCAAGTGGCAGATGTGCTCCCTATGGAGGAAAGATATGCAAAAACTATCTTTCTGGTTTTGTTTGGTTCAATGAAAGTGGGGCTAACATTGGTAGCTGGAAGAATGAACATATTACAGCATCTTTATGGGAGGAGATAATCAGCAATAAGAAAGAGCCATGTAAATCAGCTGCTGCTGTAAGTATTTACATATATTTAGGACAAACTAGAATAGTAATTATAACTAAAATTAAACAATTAGTTCATGTTAATGTAGTAATCATTATGGAAATTATTTTCCAGACATTGCTTTGTGCATATGCATTTCCTCAGTGTGTGCCCAGAGATAACGATTCGGTACCTTTGCCTCTATGTTATGAAGACTGCATTGCAGTCAAAGGATTGTTGTGTTTTACTGAATGGGCTCTAATAGAGGATAATAAAAATAGGAATATATTTCTGAAATCAAGAGGCCATTTCACGTTACCAGATTGTGAAGCATTGCCAAAATACAACAATCAGACTCCTACATGCTCTTGGACTAAATTGACAGAAATAAAAAAAGACGAAGTTACAAGTAGGCTTAAAAAAAATTCTTGTATCGTTGGTGAATATTGACAAAATATTATTCAATTTTAGCGGATTGTATTATTGGTAGAGGTCGTTGGTATTTAGGAAAGAAAAATGTAACCAAAGATGGCATCCCTTGTCAAAGGTGGGATTCAAACACACCGCATGCACATGAAACGCCAATCGATATTTTTCCAGAGATTCAAAATGCTGAGAATTACTGTCGAAATGTTGGGGGTGTTTCTGTTAAACCTTGGTGTTATACTATGGACTCTAAAGAACGATGGCAGCCTTGTGATATTCCGCAGTGTAGTGAGTTTATTATATTTATTTTATATATTATTGTTTAGGCAAATTCAAAATTCTATCGCAAAGAGGTATACAATTAAAAAAAAATCAACTTTCTTATTGCAAATTTTTTATAAAAAATCTATCTTTACTTATCACTTCTTTCTTCTGCAAATAGTAGTTTATGGTTTGTTGCATGTTAACATTTCAAATATTAAAATTTTATTTATTAAAAAATATAAAATTTTCAGATTTAACAGAGAGTAAAGTGTTTGAAAAAAATGAGTTAACTATGGACACATTTTTTGCGCCGACATATATGATAATGTTTGGAGGTGCAGGATTTATAACGATAGTTTTGATATTATTACTATTTTTACTATGCCAAAGAATGGTTCACCATAGACGAAATTATCACCAGACCCCTACTAGAGTAAGTAGACATTTTTTTTATTTGGTCGTTTCCAACCATTTTTGTCTGCCTATCCTTGCCAGGTTGGTCAAAACCAAAATCCACCACCAAAAACCAGCGATAGGTGGACCACACCGATTGATAACAACTAACTGTAAAAAATATTATATTTGTGAGATTTTCTCATGGAGTCTGCAGGATGATTAACCTGTAGTTTGGTCGTTTCCAATTCTTGTTAGGGTTTCCTCATGATGGGAAAAAAAAGTTCTAAACATAGAGGAAATAAGAAAAATGTGAAAAAAATTTTCATTTTCATCACCATGCCCATGCAGACCACAGGGTTAATCCTATGATACATTTTTGTTTATATTTATTTATTTTTTTAAAATTATAATATGTTAGATTTGTAACTTATTGCAGGATGCTAATATTGACTTGGAAAAGTTACCCAGCAATACTGCTTATCACACGGCAGGAACTTGTCTCAACCCTAAACTTGAAAAATTAGAATTTCCAAGAAACGACATAATATATGTCCAAGATTTGGGGCAAGGTGCTTTTGGACGAGTATTCCAGGTATTTATTTATGCTAATATAAAAAAAATAGGAATTTTGTCAAATTTAGATTTGAAAGAATTTTTTTTGTATTATTAAACAGCTAGTAGGAACATCAAAAATTGTTGAATTTGTAGGTTAGTTGTCTCATCAATGACATAGCTTTGCTGTAAGCACTCCACAATAAAGCTTAGCATGTAATATTAAGTTTAAACATTATTACTTGCTTTAGTTAATTACACTTTTTATCTAAGGCCTTGGTTGATATTAAAAATCTAGTGTCACGAGTGGGATGAGGAGTTGGTGTGGTAAGTGGTTAGAACAGTGGCGTATTGAGCCGAAAGTCGTGGGTTCGAATTCCGTTTAGATAAAATTTATAATTAATTATTTTAATTAATGTGGTCAATTATTACTACTAAATACATATATGGATTATTACTTGTCTTTACTTATTAGGCAATGTAGGGTTTAACTGATTATTAATTTATATACGCTTAAATCTATGCATACATGAACATACATTCACATGTGTACAGAGTTGAGCCTATCACTTTCTCGCAGTCCACCGGCAATTCAAGCTTTCGTACTGTACAATAAGACTTCTTGAGAATCACCCACCCCGGGTGTTGGCAGTCCGTGGGCAGAACTCGGTCTTATCCTTCCAGCCACTGAGGTTGAGCTATCAACTACTAAACCATTTCAGCCCCCAACGCAATCTCCATCCAAACCATTCACTATCTCCCTCTTAATTGCATTCTTTCTTATTTACGTACCATTCACTCAGGATGATGGATCTAATTGAGGGACGATTTGGGCGAGTTTGACTCATTTGACCGCCAACAAACTTCTCACAATGTGCATTCATGTTAATGAATACATTTACTCACAACACATGCTAAGGATACAAAACTCAGTATTATATGCAATAAAACAATCGTGTTTCCTCCAAAATTCTGAACAGGGGACCTAGATACTTGCTGTTGTGCTTAAGCACATTTTCATATTGAGTGCTATTCCTATCCACTCTCTATATGAAGCCAAGGAATGCCACTCTCCCGTTAGGTGTGACACATTAAGCAACTTTTTTTCTCTGCATGCCAAACACATGCATGCTTTGGCCCAAAAGTGCTCGTTTGTCTATCCTTATTCAGAAGATGATCATTCTTCTCCTAGTCACATCCTTAGAGGGCCACCTATTGACAGGGCTCTTCAGATGTGCGAACTTCTCTTCCATCCAGTCCACCAATACTGCTACTTTATTTTGGTTATATTTTTTTATTGCATTTTTAGTGTCAGGGGGCCGGATCGTGGTGGTTAAATCCGGAAGTTGGGACGTCTGGGTCTTAGTTGCCTCATTTGCCTTGTTTTTACCCTCCAGACCTATGTGTCAGGGTATCAAGACCCATTTTCCCTAGACCCCCACCTCGTGGTATCTCTCCAAGAGCACATTGAGAGGGTTGACGGAGGTCATAGACACTGGGGGAGATGGGAGAGCCACCATCATCTCGAAGCACCTCAAATGAATGCCACATTGTATAAAATTCCGCTGTGTTAACACTATAGAGTGGTTCAAGTGACCATGAAGTGGACGCACCCTCACAATACATGACCCCTCGCCAGTCCTAGACCCATCTTTGAAGACTAGGTGAAAACTGGTGTAGTTCTAAGAACTTAGCTCGGGAAAATTGTGGCCGTGGCCAGTAGAATCTAGGGCGGATTCGGCTGGTTGCCCAGCTCAAGTAGCATTCACCCCTGCCCTCCCTAAGGCTTTGAAGTCCTCGTATATTCTGCTGTACTGGCATTTAAGGATCACACCCCAAAACAGTTGTCTTGGTTTGGCAAAGAACCTCGCCACATAGCTGAGAGTAAGCTGCTCCCTTTGTAGTTCAGGTGGCAGCACTTCCAGATACAGCATAGGCTGGACAATGGGCTTGTTTTAAACGTGCTAGAGACTGCTTGAAGGCCCGAGCTTTTGCAACCTCGTTTTTTGAGGCATGTAACCATTTATTATTTATAGGTGAAATTATGTTAAATCTCCTATTTCACTTTTATCTATACTTATCATCTCTATTTCAAAAACATTAAATAATCATTAATAATTAATAATTTATTTTCAGGCAAAAGCTCCGGGTCTTCTGAAAGGTGAAGAGTTTACATTAGTCGCTGTAAAAATGCTGAAAGAAGAAGCTTCTGAAGATTTGCAGATAGACTTTGAGCGAGAAGCTTGTTTGTTAGCTTGTTTCGATCATCCAAATATTGTTAAGCTACTGGGTGTCTGTGCTGTTGGAAAACCCATGTGCCTGCTTTTCGAATATATGGGACGTGGAGATCTTAATGAGTTTTTAAGGTCGTGTTCTCCGAGTAATTACATTGTCCATTCAACAGACGGTGGAGATTTGTATAAGGACATACAATTGACTACTCCGGATTTATTGAAAATAGCGCAACAGATTGCAAGCGGTATGGTTTATTTATCCGATCGAAAGTTTGTACATAGAGATCTCGCTACTAGAAATTGTCTCATCGATGATTCTATGACGGTAAAAATAGCTGATTTTGGCTTATCACAGAAAATGTATCTTCAAGACTATTACAAAGGGGATGAACACGATGCGATTCCCGTCAGGTGGATGCCCTTGGAAAGCATATTATACAATAAATACACAATAGAGTCAGACGTATGGGCCTTTGGAGTGTGTTTATGGGAAATATTTTCATTCGCTTTACAGCCCTACTACGGTATGACACACGAAGAAGTAGTCAAATACATTAAAGAGGGAAATGTTCTTCAATGCCCAGACAACACACCAAAAACGATTTACACCCTCATGAAAAGTTGTTGGAATAAAAAACCAGCGCTAAGGCCTAGTTTTCGGATAGTTCACCAAACCCTTGAATCTATCCTCGAAGACATGCTTAGGGACCAAAGTCAACCTACTTCAACACTACTCCAACGAAGGAATGTCTGAACATCTAGAATACTTAATCATTTCCAATTTGAAGATTTAATATTATCCAATTGACTCCACAGTATGAGTGTAACCTTTATACAAAGTGTATATTTTCCTGTTTTTCCCTGTTTTTCAACTATACAAATCAAAAAAAGTGGCAAGCTTACAATAGCACTTAAAAAAACTACATTTTTTAAAATTTATTTTAATATAAGTGTCTTTATGTATTGTCTGTGGAAAAGAAAAAAACATATTTTGTATTTAAATCTTAATGTGATTTGCAAATATTCTTACCGTGTTTTTTAAACATTTAAAAACGTATATTTGCACACAATTTTTCAATTTGTACATTTTAATCAATTTTTCGATAATGATGACTTCGATATAGTACGTTTATTATTTATTTATCGATATAAATAACAAATTATGAATGTCTTGTTCATTATAAAACAGCAAAGAGCACTTGCTGGCACTTAATTTTTAAAAAATAATATTTTTTAATAAATAAATTTACATTTACTTTTGAACAGTACATATATTTTTTAATTTTGAAAAAAAATTGGTTGTTTAGTGTTAGCATTCTTAAAAAAGCTGTAATAATTTAATTCTTTATTAAGATCATTATTTTCATCACTAGTTGTGAAGCATGTTTAATTATAAAAATAATGGTCTTCACCATCTTTTATTTTATTATATATATATATTTTTTTTTTTCGAAAACGTAACTAGTCAGATCATACTTGTAATGTGATCATTGGAAATTTGAGATATTTAAAAGCCCACTTAAACATAATGGGTGTTACAGATTCCTCCTCGGACCGTTGACAATCCACCCGGTCTCCGGGAAACAGTGAACCCTCGGGATTTAAAAAAAATAAGTAAATAAAAAATAAAAATTAAATAACAATGTCCTCACTATTAAAAGCAAAAGGGAAATAAAACAAGTTCTCTTTCAATATAGTAAAACATGGCCAGAAAACAAAATTGCGCAAAATAAAATAAAAGTCTGATCCTCATTTTGGTACTTTTTCCTTGTGTTATGGCGAACTTTGCTCAAAAGTAGAGACAAAGAGGAAACGTTGTTCCCCCCAAAAAAGATCATTTTTTTCGCACTCCAACTTGTTTACTTTGACCCGTTCGCGCTCGAGCCTCACCTGTCTTTGCAGGCCTGGAACCACTCCTCGTAGATGTCCTTGTTCAGTCCCAGCCCCCAAGACTGCCCGCATGTCTTAGGCCTTGCTTAATTTTACTGAGAACACCCTTGTATCCATCTGAATCTGGTCGCCCCAGTTCAAAAGAATTTCACTTATTTTCCACTTGTAAAATGGGATGAGAGTAATTACAGGAGGAAATGCCAGGGAAATAATTCAGATCACAGAAATCGCTTCATTAAAGCAGAATGTCAAAAAATAAAAAGTCCAGTGAGATGAAGAACGTTCAGATTTAATATTGGAAATTTATTATTTTAAGCTTTTGATTAGATATTAAAACCAACGTACACAATTTGTAATTGAAACAATATATATTTAACATAAAATGTGAGCAGAAATGCATGCTCATTTTTGTCATAAAACTAACGGCTATATTTTTTTTTATACCACATTGATTAAGAAGAAAGAATTCAATTTTACACTCACACCACTGTTGATAAAAAAAAAAGTGAACCGCTGTGGTGGATTTGTTTATACCTAACTTTTTTTTTAACTAAAAAACAAATTTGCTGTCACATATTTTTGGGACTTGTAAAAAAAATTATGTTTTACATTATACAAAATTGTGGAGGCTTTCTACCAGAGGAAAAAAATGATCTGAACATTTGAAGGAAGTGTAAAATTTAAAATATTGTTACTTGTAATGAACAATGATTGGAAATATTCGTTTTTCCAGTTGCTTTGGTTATAAATGATCTTATGATTAAGCTTAACATTAATCATTAATATGTGTGATTATTTAATTATTGAAAAACATTGTTTTTCAAAATTATTTCGTTTTGGATGTTATTGTTTTGCATTATTTGGTGAGTGAAAATATGGGAGTCCTTTTAATGTAGTGAAAATGTTAACTGTTTATTTTATTTTATTTTTACTTGTTTATGTTAAGTAAATGTCTTTTATTAAAGATTGGACTGAATAATGGAAATTTAAACTTTACAATTTATAATAATTATTACTGAGAGCAGTGTAAACATTTCTTATAGCTTTACTTGTTACTTATTACAATTTTGTATATGATAGAAATTGGAAAATTTTTTTTTTGTCAGGGAAAAATGTCACATCACATGTTTTCTAATTTATTTTTTATCAGAATGAAAATTCGACCGTACATTTTGTAAGTAGTAAGTTCTAAATAAAAAAATGTGCCAAATTCAGTACAGAAAAGTATGCTCTTATGCAACCTGAATAAATTTTACATTGACCAGGAAGAAAAAATGCTTGGGATAACAACCCACGAACCAAAGGATTAAAGGATTTCATGTACCCAAGTAAATAAAAAAGAATGCTGTGCCCATTACCTAAAAAATAAACTTTAAAATCAAATAATATCAGAATGTACAAAATTCAGATCTTCACTATTCAATTATAAAAATTAATTTCACATTTTATAATTATAACAAAACATTGGAGTGAGTCAATACAGTTGACTGTTTTCAATTTATTTTTTAAAATGTATGCCTTCCAATGTTATTGTTACTGGTATTGATTTAATAAGTGATTATTTGTGCTATTTTAAATAGCACATTGTGCTATTGGAAATACCACAGTGCACTGTTTGAGTGTTGGCTGAATATTCACTGTTCATGAAATAAATAACTTTTGGAAATGTTCTTTATTTTACATCCTCACATTGTAACCTCTTATTGAGAACAATGGGAATTTATTATATAAAAGTTGCAAACCATTGCAGAAATTAACAGCAGAGCTATTCATGTTTAGGTCATGTTAGTACTAGAATTGCCGGCAAGACACTGCAGACATTAGAGGCATGTCACAGAGCGGCAGAAACAAGCCTGTTGCCAGTAAGAAGCAGTGGAAGAAAAGCTCTGTTTTTATGAAGACCTAAACGGGCAAACATTTCTACTCCTGGGAGAGAAAAAGCCCAAGGCCTGAATAATATACAAAGTAGTCCTCGGCAAAGCTTTGGGATTTGATAATAAGCTAAATGAAGAGTTCTAGATAATAATAAAGATAGTACACCACCAACACTAGTTGTGGTGCACATACCAGGTTTCCTTTTAATTTTAATCTTACGTATGTTAGGCCCTAACTATTGCATTACAATAAAAATATAGTAAAATCTATCAAAGTTTATCAGTAACCAAAAAAGGTCTATAAACCACATATTTTTGAAGTAAACTGTCATAATTTTTTCACAAAACTAATATGAAATTTTGATTTGGCACCTCTAGAAATCCCTGAATATAAATTTTTGTTTGAATTTAGATTTATTGACTTTTAATTTCCTAAAAAAATAACTAATAATATTACAACTAATAAATAACTGGTAAAAAATTCAATCATGGAAAAAAATTGATAAATGTAAATTCAAACAAAATTTTATATTTGGGGGTCTCTAGAGGCTATTAGTTAAAAAAAAAGACCTAGGTTACTTGAAAAATATTTGTTTGTTAAAATTTTGTTTAGGTTTTACTAGATTTTTATTGCAATCTACATAAAAAAGATGTAAAATGATATACTTATATAGTTGATTTTAAGCAAGTAGAACAGGAAATAAAAATATTTAAAAAAAAGCCGGAAAAATTTTAACTTTCAAATTTTTTTTCAAAACCCTTCACAAGAAGTGGTGTATGATATTTTGGAGTGTAGAATCACCAAAAAAATTTGGTCCAAATCAGTGAACCACCAACCTGGTCGTCTCCTTGCCAGTACACAGCCTTGTCTAACCCCTTCAACACGAAAAGCTAATACAAGAAAATATTAAATAGCTTTAGATACAAGGCTTCACTGCTTACCATTTTTTAATACAAAATTAACATTAACTAATGCTACACAATTCAAATGGTTGATAATTTGGATAGGACAAATGCACAAGGGGGACAATTTAAGGGAGGCCCGCCGATATGGGGTCTCCCTTAGGTATGGCGGGGAGGTGGATGGGTAAAAAAAAAGATAAAACAAATGCAATAAGTACTACAAATAATCATTGTTTGTATAGAATATTTATTTACATTTGTTCCTTAGTTATATTTTGTACATTATAAATATTCTCTTGTTCTAGTTGAATATGTAATTAATATCAACATTTTAAAAGTAGTCCTACCATATAATTAAATTAGTTAATAATTAAATCTACAAAAGTTTAAACAATTTTTTCATTTTAAAATTTTTCATTAAGGTCATAACAATTTTTAATAAAGACGCTATATAAAAATTAGTTTTTGTTTTTAAACAAACATTTAATAAATAATAAGTGTCATTTGAAATATAATTACTATAGTTTTATTTTGTAAGTTTCTGTTAAGGCTAATATAGCCAGTAATAATTTAATAATTTCGATAGTTTTAAATTAATTACAATCAGGAATGATTCAACGTATAAAATTAAATAAAAAATATATATAAAGTAGACATATATAATTTTATAAATAAAAATTTGCCTAATCAAAATCTTCATCAAATTGGTGACTTGTTTCCAAAGCCCATTCAAGCAACAGACCTTCGCCGTTGCTAGAGTCCGATTGTGGCAGACATGTTTTAATTTCCTCCAGCAATTTTGTAATAAAATGTGTTTCCTCCTGGAAAAAATTAACATAAACCGTTTTCTTAACTTTAGTCTAATTCAAAAACTTACTTTCTGCCAAGATGTATGAAATAGTTGAAGTGATTGGTCTTCAAATTCTTTAACAGTGATGAAGTTTTTCTCTATCAAGCATTTAAAAATAAGAGCCACGGTAGCAGGAATATCCGCTTGAAATTGGCTCAGGTGTGCCATTCTGATATTACGGGGGCAGAGGATTCTTTTTTCATTATCCGAAGTTGTGACCGATTTTATAGATTTCCATAGCGGGATCAGTCCAAAAATAAAATCTCTTGTGACCAATTTCGGCGAACGAGATACTGAAACAACAATGTCAAGCATTTTAAATAATTTTAAAGGAGGTTCAAAGTTTTGTCGAAGTTTTTCTCACACATCGGATATGGAGATTGTTTGGTTTATCAAAGGAATTTTTCCATTGACATAGAATTGTAGGACTTTTCTTTTTTAAATTTGTGTTTAGTTTCGTTCAATTTTATTTGCTGCAAGACTGGAGGTTTAAATGAAGTTGGATTTTATGACTAGAACTAACGAAGGATCAGATGTAACCAAAAAGGCATATAATATTGTCAATTTGCTGTGTATATTGTGAATAGGAAGGGCCCTAAAATGATCCTCTGGGGGACACCCAGTTTAATGGAAATTTAAGAAGAAAAGGCAGTACCCATCTATCTGGATGTTTTTGTTGTGCAAGGTTANTTTTAATTTTTTTTTTTTTTAAATTTTGAAAGATAGGAAAATAATATGTAAGTTAGTATTAAATGAGATGTTATACAAAAAGTTGCAAAAACCAAAATATGCTTATAGTAAATTTGATTTTTTTTTAAAATCAAACAATTGAGATTTGTTTTAAGCACCCTTTAAAGAATTTATGTATGGTTTTTATAATAAAAAAATATACATTTTTAGGTTGGATGGGCCTGGGGTAATTTTTTTCTCTCTCTGACATTTGGTGTTCTGATTAAAAATTTATTCATAACTGGATTTTTAGAAATGATGAGGGGGTGAGGTGAATATGCAGATTCACTGTTTTGCAAATGATGATTCTATTGACAAATTTGTTGTTTACAATGATCCAGATTTCGAGCATTAAACATTCTCAAAATGTTGAAGGAATTACAGTTTTCTTGACATGAATTGTACTAGTGTACCAGCCAAACCCTGCCAATGCGACATTCCAATGAAATGCTGGTTTTTGATGTTGCTCAATTTTAAACGTGTCAAAAACGTGAATTACAACACAACTAAATATCATCTTAATAAATACCGTGAGAAAATAACTTTAAATTAGTGATTAATTTATATGTCACATACATTTAGTAAATATATGTAGAAGAGAAGAACTCTTATTTAAGAAATAAGAGGTAAACCAAAATTTATTGTATTATTTATGCATTGTGCTGCATATTTAATATCATAATCATTACAATTAAGTTGGTAAACCCCGACTTTTGACAAGTTGTCAAACTTATCTTCAAGTTCTGAGAGGATGTTTCTAGGTGAATGTGTTCTTCTAAAAGCTAGCCTAAAATCTTCTCCTTTAACAATTTCATCTACTTTTTCTGATAGCTCACCAATATATGACAAGCAACGAAAATCTAAAGATTCATTTTTGTGGGATGGCCGAGTCCGATTCTTCCTTCTGTTACAGTAATTTATTTTTTTTTTTATTTTATTATTTTTTTTTTTAGCAACCTATCGATAAATATTTCTTGATATCCATTGTTTTTACTTAAGGTTTTAATTGTTTGTAATTCTTTTTTATAATTAGCATTTGTTACTGGGCGTTTCAACATACAGTCTATGAGTCAAATGTATCCAACAGCATTTTGGGCCCATGGGTGAGAAGAATCTGCTGGTGTCATGGTCTCTGAAGTTGTGGGTTTTCTATAACTGTCTATTTCAATAGGTTATTTATTATAGACTTAGTATCACCAAAACTTTTTTCATTAAAATCAGTGATGTCCATAGTTTTCCATTGTTAGATATCTGTTGCAACTGTCATAAGCTATTTTGGGAAAATTAGCTTGTATTGTTTATATATAAATATATAAAAAGAGTTTACCTAAACACCATAGTAGATCCCAAGAGGTAGTATACAATGTTGATAGTATTTCGTTGTTGTCTGCGCAATTCATTGCATCCTTTACAATAGAATTTAAAAATGGCAATATCTTTTTTACGTCCAAATCTTCATGTTTGCCAAAATAAACTTGATATATTAACTCCTAATCATAAAAATACAATATTAGAAAAAATATATTACATAAATATAGACATTTGTATTTTGTTGTTTATGTGTAATATTTAGTGTCTGTTAATTAATGATTTTTTAAAGATCGTTAGATGCGGTCTGGTGTGATTTATGTTGAGCAGAAATATTATAGAAAATATTTTCTTCATCATGCCAACGTTTCAGTCTTTATTGAGTTCAACTTCAGGGCCTGGGATTTATAAACATTGTTTAAATAAAAAAATACATATAGATATGAATGAATGATGAATTTATGCAATGATGTACACAATATAGAACTTTTCGGTTTAATCAAAGTACTTGTACTCACTCAAAGTGTTTGTTTTCTCTGTAGTCGAGTCACTGTTGTGTTGAAAGTGTAGTGAGATTTAATGTTTTTTGTTTGTTTATATTTGATTTTGAAGGAGTGGGGAAGGAGGTAGGGTTAGAAATTCATTTTCTATGAGGAGTCGGCTTCTTTGAGGTGAAAGGGACTAACAATGGAAAAAAGGTAGTGGTTTGTCGTTCTGGCCTAGTTAGCCCTTCAGGATTATTATAGACGGGATTATTAGGGAAAGGAGAAATAAATTGTTGGAAATTTAAACTATGTAGAATTCTATAATTGTTTTATATGTTGTGTGTATATGTTTTACATGTTTTGTGTGTTATATGTATGTTATCGATATTGAATTTGATTAATGATATTAGCTTAGTTGCAGCTGAGTTTACATGTGTCTGTTCTGTGTTTATTTCTGTTCATGTTCTAAAAAGTTAAGTTTATATTTGTTTTTCTCTGCGTAATATTTTTGAATTGTTGAAATCAAAATGGTGTTGGTGTTCAAAATGGTGGCTAGCAAGTGCTACAGCACTACTTTTTTTACAACATTTTCAAAACATTAAAATATGCATGTTGTAATTAATATAATGATAAAATACTTATAGTTTGAAATAAACAACAAAATTACAAAATCAATTGTACAAGATGTCCACCTACTTACATCGGAGTTACATCCCAATATCTGGATAAGAGGGTAAAACAACATATCTATGATTTCAAAAAACCCAAACAAAATTCTACGGAATTCTAGAAGACTAGAAGAAAGCATACTACTCATACAAAGCCTTCTAATGACTTTTTTAGACATTACGGTCCATTTGGAGTTGACTATCTATCAAGGAAGTCTTTAAATGATGGTTCTGTAGTGTGGTAAAAGTAATAAAATATCAGTTGTATTCACAGTAAATCGCGATTGATTTGAAGTGAAATCACCTTCACTTTGATCGACCCTAAACTTCTGTGGACCATTGTGGATGGTAGAGAGCGCTACACCAAGGACTTGGGTTACATAACAGACATTATGTCCGTTGTTGGCCAAAGCATCTGTCCGGGCGAGATATTGTTGATCTCTTAAATTAATAATTAATTTTTTACTCAAATTTATTGTTTCATCAAAGAAAACAATTTAAAAAACCAATTAACTCACTCAACAAGTTGGCTCTAGCAAGGATGAAATTGAACTGACTTTCTTTAAGGTGGCCATTGACAATCCCTCCAAATGGAACCGCGACTTTTGGAGAATGTACGACGGAGAGAAAATGCGGGTTTTCCCCATTCACGAACAAGCCAGTGTGCCAATATTTCACCGTTCACACCAGGTTTTCCCATTCACGAACGCGCCGTGCCATCATCACGCTGTAGATATTCAAAGTGGTGCGATTCAGTTTGGACTGGTCGAATATTCGGCACAGCGGTTTTTGGAACGGTGTTGCTCTGTTTGGACTGCTAAGAGCAATCGTGAATGGCCACCTTTATTTTTATAAGTCATCTATTATTCTTTTCACCTAGTTATTTTGGAAAATAAACAAAGAAATAAAAGGGTCTGTTTTCTATCTTTAAGTGTGTTATAACTACAGTCACATATGACTTGTAGCAAATATTACTATACAAAGTTTAATTTCACCTCAAGTTTCAATAAAGAAGGTGTAAGTGAAATGTTATCTCCTTCCAAGTAGGGATGCAGTTTGGTGAGTCGTTTAAGATCACAACACTCTTCTATTGTCCGTGAAATAATATCCTCTGTAAAAAAATAAAATAAAATGAATAAAAAGTAATAATATTGCTGAAAGAAATAAGAGTTATAATTAAGTTAAAATTTAAATACCTGTAGTACCAAAAGTTTGTTTAATCCAATTTTCTATTTTGATATCCACTTTTTTTGCCATGAGTTTTTCAGCGGTGGCTACCGCTGATGGAGGAAGATCAGGGTCGTGAAGTAGACGAAATGCAGGCCAGAGCCTATTTTCTTTGATTTCCTTTATTTCTTTCTTTATAACATCGTTTAATTCATTAATTGTAATGTCAATCATGTTTCTTGTTTTTGAATCCTAAAAAGAAGCACTAAGTGAACAGCTAGCTAACAACACTAACCAATTGGACAATGAGAGTAAGTTGTACTAGAAGGACTAGAATTTATGCCTTGGGCAATATGCTACTGTTTCTGAAGCAGAGGCTGTGGCTATTGAACGCTGCCCCAAGGATATTAAAAGACTATCGTTAACAGAAGAATAGCCATCTACTCCAATTTGCATTAAGGCCCTGTTAGACATTGGGCTCATAAAAAACACCAAAATTACCACTGTCAAAGTACTGCATGATTTGGGATGTGCAACATAACTGTAGAAGAAAGAAAACAGGTATAATCAAATTCCTTGATGAATTGAAAAGTTGGAATTTCAGGTGTGCTATAGGTAGAGAATGGTGGATTTTATAATAACTTTCAAAGGCTCCAATATGCCAAATTACCCTGAATTTTACATTTATGCCATGCAAATAATATACAATGAGAATAAGTTACAATTAATTAAGGTTTTTAGTTGAGATAAAAACCTTAATTAATTGTAATATATTAATTGGTCAAGCGGACCACGAAATTAGTGAATTTAATTAATTAAAATGAAGTATACTTCACTAAAGCTCTCTGTGGCCATTTCATTTGTCGCCAAAAATCCAATCTGATTACACGACATTTGAAAAATGGCAAAAAGAAGGGAAAATTCAAAAGGTGGGGTTGAGATGGGAAGTTGGTGTCCGAGTGGATCAAGGTCACGATAGCTCAAGTGGTAGAACAGCGGCCTATCTAGCCGAAGATCGTGGGTTCGAATCCCGCTCGTGCCACTGACTTTTTTATCTCAACTAAAAACATTAATTAATTGTAATATATTAATTGGTCAAGCGGACCATGAAATTAGTGAATTTAATGAGAATAAGTTGACTAAAATGATCAAAGGATCAACAATAAGACTTATTTAACTTGTGTCTTCATTTACCAATTGTACAACTCCTAACTCTTCAGTTATCTTCTGCTGTTGAATAAACATAGCGATAGTGTAACTGTTTTCTTTGTAAATTGCAGTGATGTTTTTTTCACAAATCTGGGCAATCCTGTTGGACAAAAAATCAGCGATGATGCTCAGTCCTTTATAACCGCTAAAGAAGCTAGCTTCAAGTTTGTCCTGCAACATTATTCAATTAGTGATTTAAAAAATGTTATTAGTTTATAATTTTACAAACTATGAACTACTTTTAGCTGGGTTGGCGATTGCTCAGAAGCCGGTGTCAAGGAAGTCGGAGTAATATGTCTTGCAGAATTATTGGTACTCCTCACATGCGATAATGTAATGTTCTTAAGTTGCCTAAATACTTTGCACGTTTCAAGAAAAATTCCTTTTGTTATTACATTTGAATTATCAAGGGTTTGATAATTCAATATATCTAAAATTTAAACGGAATGAATTTTTTCAAAACATTACAAAAAAAAATTTTTTTTTTACCTCGAATATCAATTGGTGCTATATTATGATCCATAAGATAATAAAATTTCTCTTCATAAAATGCTGAAGAATTAAAAAGTTTTCCTATGGTGACAGCAAGGTAAGCCATGTTGACAGCTGACATTCGAGTTAAATGGATTAATGCTGGATAATTATTGCAATGGCGATTTAAAGGTAGTGGAAATGCGATAGCTCGAGTTGAATTGGACACAGAAAAACCTTTTATTTTAAGCGTAACTTTTATGGACATTAAAGTAATTAGAATATGATTTATATAAGGCACTTCTAATGCCACCATATCGCACATCATTAAGTATTCGACAATCCAGGGTACAATTAATATTAGTGTTCCATTCTCGGAGGCTTTCTTGAGAATTTCTGAAAATTCCATTGGCGGATGTACCTGTAAGCAATTGCCATGAGGTTATATCAAATCAAAAGAAAATCAATGAAAATACAAACCTGAGTACGCAAATTAACTTGTTTATCAAATACGGACTTGGAGATTTTGTCAGTGTTTTGATGGTAATGAACAAATTCTATGAATCCAAGAAATTTCCCAAGACATTGCAATATTTTAACTGTTGTAAAATACCAACCACTCCCAAGAGTATACAATGGGATATTCCCTTAAAAATAAATAAATATAGAAAACAATAAATTAAACACAGAATAATCAGACAACCTCACATCAATATTTTAATTGTAAATTTCAAAAAAAGCGCATTATTAATAAAGAAAATCATTTATCTATTTATTATATTTTCCCCATCTCTACTGCTTTACAATTTTCAAGTAGTAATCTTCTAAAACACTCAACAAGTGAGTTTCACCAAAAAACATACAAATTCATCTAATGGTGATCAAATTTGGTGTTTTGAGCTTGTGCTTATCGTATTTTAATTTTTTATGGATCCACCTTGCTATTTTCATCAGAATCAAGATCATCAGAGTGTGTGTGAGCATTACTGGGGCAATAATAACAACAATACTGCGCTGGAAGTACTTCTGAATCTACCACCTCTACGTAACTTTATCCAGGGCCAGAACTACAATTCAGAGTTAATGCAGTGACTGGTTCCGATAGCCTGCCTGCAAAACTGTAACATGACTAATGCTTTCTGTGGAGTTTCAGGTATACAGGATTCTAAGAATGCCTGTTGATGGCACCCTTAACACTATCAGCCCGATGAGCGCCATTTGGAGATTGGTAGTGGAGGCCCAATAACCCGGCAGCCTCCAGCTGGCGCTGGCCCTCTCTTTATGTTCATTTGGTCATGGTGGGTCTGGGTTTTTATGAATTCCCTACGATTTCTACACTTAGGTCTATTTGAGTGCCTGCTTTTGACCTGTATTCATCATTTTCAGATCCACTCACCACCGGCTTCATTTTAGTGTGGAGTTTAACAAGTGACCCTCACTTCACAGATTGTTAAAAATGAGGCAACTTTTATAAGAAATAAAGCTAAATTTTTTTAATACAGCTTTCTTCATTGTACCAACTTAAAAAAAGCCCAAATAACTATTAATAGTCTTTTTACTATTTCTATTATATTTTTTATCCTAAATCGTGTTGTGCTTTTTTAAATTTTATCTTGGGAATAAACAATTGTTGCCATAATTTTCATTTGTGACAAATCACATATTTGTAATGATGTATGTATGTAAAAAAAATTAATAACAGCATGGTAAATACTTTTTTAAACAAACTGATTTATTTTGTGTATGTAAGGTATTGTTTTTTAAACTTTCAACTGTTTTATCTAATTTTATTACAAAGTAGGATTTATCAATTCTTGTTTCTTCTTGATGTCCTTTGCTTTTTTAGAAAGAAGAAACTTCATAGAGCAAAAAAAAAAAGTTTAAAAAGCTATAAGATTTGAAAATTATGACCGATCAAGAAATTTGTGCTGTTAGAATCTGTTGGTTTTGAAATCATTAATGAATTAGACAAAGTATACAGATGGCTCCAAAACTGAATGTGGGTCAAGAGCGTAAATAAACCAAGGAGTTGAGAGTTCATATAAGCCTTTGGCAATATGCCACTCTTTCAAGTGGAGACTGTATTTACATACTGTGCCAAAGATATTAAAAGACTATCATTAACAGAAGAATAGCCATCTACTCAGACAGCCAGGCAGCACTGAGGGCAATTACCGCATCAGTGGTAAAGACCAGAGTCATTTGGGAATGCATTAGGGTCCTGTCAGACATTGAGGAACACAACAAAATTACCATGGTCTAAGTACTAAAGCACACAGGGGCAGAGGGGCAGCGAAGAAGCCATAAATTGGCCAAGAAAATTTTGATGAGGACCCTTATTGGTCCTGAACCCTTTTGTGGCATAGCAAACTGCCAAAAACATGGATCCATTAGACAATGGATTAAAAATAAGTCTTCCGTTCAATGGGAATTAACCTAGGGTAGAGGCATGTGAAAAAGTTCATTAAAGAACTACTAAACCTAGGACAAGTTAGGACTAGAATATAGTAGGACTGCTAACCTGGGTACTGCAGACTCCAGAGACATATACAGAGTGGCAGAAAGAAGCCTAGACTTGTGCCAGGAAGAAGAAAAGACAGCAGAACATGTCAACAGTATATGTAGGCTAAGATTCCTCTCCCGGGAGAGGAAAAGCCCGGTACACATGGGAGACCTTGAAAAAGCTTTGACATCTTACTATCAAGAATGTCCAAGTCCATATGTCCTCAAAACTGCAAGAAGTCGATACAGACATCTCTATAAAACCCTGAACCTCATCCAACTCCACTAGTTAACATCTTTCATCCCACCCTTCCCGACACCTAAAGTACTAATGGTATCACGATTCCATCTCCAGCGAAAGAAAGCGAATAGTGATAGTGTCCTACACTCAATTCATAAAGATAACAAAGTTGCTTGCAGTACTTTTGTAACATAATAAAAAAAATTCCGTCACAGACAATCTCTATTGTGCTATTTTTGTTGGTCCAATTTAATCACACAAATCTACATTCTAAATTTCACATACATCTGTAAAATATTTACTCTTACTTGCTATTTATGTTTAGAACATAAATAAACAAAATATTCATTGAAAAATCAATGATTTAAGGAAATGAAATAGGCAATTACCATTACTTTCCATTTTAAAAGCCAGCTCCTTATATGTTAGAATTAAACTTTGTTTAATAAATAATATCAACGTAGGAGAGACTTTCAAAGACAGCAATATGAACTCTTTATAAAAGGATTCAGCTTCATCAAAATCGTCTTTATGGTATTCTTCAAATTTTGTATCCAAACGAGGCTGCACGAGCCTTTTTTCGAGTTGAACATACTTTTCCTTTCGAGAGTTATTTAAATCCGAATATGAATCACTAACACAGTCCTAGAAAAACAAAAAAGTTTGAAAGATGAACAAAATTATTATTACATTTTTCAATATTAATTTTCATAACGAACAGTTAATTAAATTATCTTAATTTTTATCAGTTCAGAGACAAAAAGTACGTCCTATTGAAATTAATTAATTATACCTTAAACTGGGCATATCTGATGAGATGTCGCACAAATATTTCAGCGAGAAGAGTCATAGTGCTGGAATCTTGGTTTGCCTTTTCAACGAGAGTCGAGACTTTCAGCTTAAAATCATTAATGTTTAGACTAATATTATTTTGCCACTCTGATGCTAACAAATGGAATTCGTTGATGACTAATTCGGTATTGTTGTTGACATTTGATTCGTCCAAGTTTATATCTACATTTTGGAGCATTTTTGTGCATGCTTCTAAAGTTGCAAGATCATTGATGTAATTATAGTCAGTCTGTAAAATACAATGCTGAAATATTATTCACTGTAGAAACATTAAATTATCTAAATCAGAGTTGTGTGGTTTCGTAGTTTGATAATTTTATAATTTGCCTCTGAGTGGAAGCTAAGTTTCATTGGTTTATAACTAAGTTCTATTTTTTAAGATATAAAGGTAAGAAGTAATAATATAGTTTAGTTTAACTATTGATAATTATTTGAAATAATTTAACTCATATATCAGGACCAAGGGAACACTAAAAAGACAGATTATTTGTTAACAAAATGAACAAAAGCGATACTTACTGGTAAACTTGTGGCCTTGAGTAGGCTAACAGCAAATTGCTGGTTTATGTCTAAAGCATTTCTTGATAATGATTTTAAACAGACATTATCCAAGTATGTTAAAATATGTCGCTGGCTATTTAACACTTCAACGGCAAAAATGCAGCATTCCTCTTTAGATTTTATGAACTGTAAGTCTTTAATTACATCAATACAGGGTTTTGCAACTAGCATTTTCGTATTTGAAAAAACAAATTCTTTGTGGCACAATACGTTCATCATAAATGCAAGTTCGCTAGTTATACTGGCGCACATTTGGCCATTCAAAATTTCAATGTACACACATATTATAGTTTGCAATTGAGGAGAAATTCCTCTAATGCTTTTTTCAGTATACAACTGCCATGGTGCCATCATAGCACAACTATTAGACTCTTTCGGAGTTAATTTATTTATATCTGATGGTGAGCCAAGTAGAGTTGGGTTAACACCTAAATGATTTGGAGAATTTTGATTGAAATTTGCTTTTGATGACCAAGTACTGCTTTCATCTATAACAGAATTATTTTTCCTATAAACAAATGAAATTTAACACATTATTATACTAACAATTACATATATTATAATTAACTGCAAAATATATTAAAATGTATGCCCAAAAATTTTTTTTCTAACTTCTACAAACCATAATCTAAAGAACAGAGTTCCTAAAATTTTTATTTTTGAAGCAGAACGGTGTTGTTTATTTATTAAACTGAATGGCCGCATCTTAACATGGATATATTTTTGGGCTTGATACAAATATTTTTGGGGTTATGTGGAAGTTAAGTTGGGGTTAAGTTAGTGTAAGCAGGTTTAGTGTTAAGTAAGGTTGGGATTAGGATTAAGCTCAACTTAAATTATATTAAGTAGGGTTGGGATTAGGGTCAGGTTAAATTTAAATGATATATTAGGTTAAATTTTTTCATATTCAAATGTTTTGATTTAAATTAGAATTTTTCATTATTTTATTGTTGTCATTGTTTAATATTTCAATGTTTTTTTATTTGTTTATTATTGTTTCTTTGCTTTTTTGTAATTACTGAAAATGGGCTATTGCGCATGTATAAATAAATAAATTAGGTTAGGGATGTTAAGTTAGGTTGAAATGGTTAGGCTAAGGGGTGGGATACAATTAGGAACAGGTTAGATTAGATTAGGTACAGTTAGTTTTAGCAAGGGAAAGGACAGATTAAGTCAATTTAGGTTAGGAAAGGTTGGGTTAAGTTTGGATTAAGGTTAGGGATGGTGGGTTGGGTTGGGCTAAGTTAGGTTGGAATGATTAGGCTAAGGGGTGGGATACAATTAGGAACAGGTTAGATTAGATTAGGTAAAGTTAGTTTTAGCAAGGGACAGGACAGATTAAGTCAATTTAGGTTAGGAAAGGTTGGGTTAAGTTTGGATTAAGGTTAGGGATGGTGGGTTGGGTTAAGTAAGCTTAGGGATGATTTAGGATCAGGAACAAGTTAGTTCAAACAGGGTTACGTTGGGTTAAGTTGGAATGTTAGGCTGAGGGGTAAGATAGGATATGGGACCCAGGTTAGAAATGGTTAGTTTTATTACAGAGAGGCTAGATTTGGTGAATTTAGGTTAGGAATGGCTAGGATAGGGTGGGTTAGGCTTGGGGATGGCTTACGTTTAGATTAACATTAGGGATGGTTAAGATAAGTAGGATAAGCATGAGGGTTGTGTTAAGTTAGGTTAAGGGATGGGTTAGGATCTCGAACAAAGTTAGATTAAGTAGGGCAGATTAAGGAGTGGGTTAGTATTTGGGGCAGGTTAATTTGGCTAGGTAGGGTTAGGATGTGATAGAACTAGGGGTGGGTTAGGATTTGGGATTAAATAGATTAGGTTAGGTTAGATCAAGGTTAGGGATGGGATAGGATTAGGGTTGGGTTAGGATTTGTGATAAGCTAGATTAGGTTAGGGATTGGTTACGATTATGACTGTTATAATTTGGAACAGGTAAGATTAGGTTAGGGAGAGTTAGATCAAGGTTAGAGATGGGATAGATCGCTAATAGTTCAAGGAAAATAAGATAAAACGACAGAATATAAAATTTGCATTCAAAGATATATCTTTAAAAATAAATAAGTAAATATACATATAATAACTTTACTTTTTGGTCGGTGTTTAACACCTGATAATGAAGGAAAATTGGTATCATATGCCACAGGAGAATAATACTCATTTCTCGATTGGGGGGATTTCAGTAAATCCAGGTTTGCCTAAAAATTTAAAAATAGAAATGAACCATTTAATTATAACTAAAATGTATCTAATTAATGCTGCTTAATTTAGAATTTCCTCTTTTACCTTCTGGGATTCATCAGTAGAGAACTTTCGACATGTTTTTTTTGAATGTGATATCCCTGCTCTTCTATCTCTTAATATATTCCTAAAAAAATATATATTTGCTTAAAAATCCATTTAAGAAGAATAGACTTATACTATCAGTTGCCCAGTTAGAAAAAAAAAATTGGTCATTACCTATCATTTTGGTCTGCCTAAACTGACATTACACAATAACTAAGGAAGGACAGGCAGACCAAAATTGTTAATGACTTAATTTCAGGTCTATCCCCCTGAAGACAACAAACATAAATCTTACAATTTAAAAAAATATACAGTATGAGTATGCTATATAAAGTTTTATCTGCAAAAGCATTAGAATTTTATTTAATTTAATAAATGTAGTAAGGTACTTGATTATTATAAATTAACATTTTTTATGTATGTGGAGTATTGACTACTATTCATTCCTAAGACACCAGAAACCAATGAAAACCTTAACATATGATGATTCTGGCTGAATTTACACCACCAGAGTACTCAATATTATTTGAGTCAATGAATCAATTCTCTACTTCCAAGCTAATAAATTACTACTTACTTAATTAATAACCCAAAGTACTTTGAATTAAAAAAGAAAATACTAAAATATCTGATTATGCTTTATAAAGTCGTATTGCAAAAGCATTAGAATATAATTTAATTTAATAAATGTAGTAAGAAACATGATTAAATTACAAAACTGAGTATATTTTTTTATCTGGGTTTAAATAAGTAAATAAATTTCTCTACTAGTATGTACTTTATCAAGTAAAAGGCTTGGCTCTTACCTTACATGTGACTTAATTGCAAAGAGGAAAATTCTAATGAAGTCAACCTGCTTGATTTCACAATCCTTAAAAAAAATTAGCACACATATATTATTGTCATAATAAAGTTAATATGTTTAAATAATAGTTTTATCGTGAAAACCATGCTGGTTGGTCTTGGAGTTGTAGAACATTCAGCAGGTAGATCAAATACATACTCGTCTGCCTAATCTCACTATGTGTTTCACCATTTCACATCCAGTTAAGATAGGAAATTTCAATATGTGCATGACAAAAGTGTATAGTAAGACTAGAGGGACTGGAATAATCAAACTGGCGACAAACGTTAAAACAATCCATAGACCAACAATAAAACCTTATGATTTATTAAGTGATAAAGGTTCGATCACTGATCTTGAACCATTTTGTTTTCAATATTAGAAATATTGACCATTTTTTCATGTACGAACACTCTGTATCAAGCTATTGTCTTGAAGAAGAAGAAAGCAAATTATATATTTCTCAAGTCAACAGATGAACCCTATCTTTTCAGGGTAATAAATTACTTGAATAACCCAGACTACTTGATATTTCTCANAGTTAACAACCCAGACTATTTGATATTTCTCAGGTCAACGGATCGATCCTTTCTTTCCAAGCTAATAAATCATTTTAACAACCCAGACTACTTGATATTTGTCAAGTCAACGGATCGATCCTCTCTTTGTAAGCTAATTTGTTAACTATTTTAATAACCCTGACTACTTGATATTATTCAAGTCAATGGATAAATCATATAAACTCTTGGCCTCTTATCCTAACAATTTACTTACACGACCCCCCAGACAGAATATATGTACACTAAATGTTATTTTTAAATAATGTTGAAACAGCACTAGTTCTACATGTGTAGACCCAGCGCCAGTTCAACATGTATTCAACGACTCGTAGACTCACCATCTTTTATATAAGTTAATGTCACATTTCAATAGGATGAAGTATGGAGCCTTTTTAAATAAAATTTGAATTTACTTCCCTTTAACTTTGAATTGAAAATTAGAACATATAACAAAATATTGATTTTAATCAACGCTGGAATGCTAGGCCTATTTTGAATTTAAATTCGTCAAAAAGTCCTAACAGAATTATTATTTATCACGAAATTATTAATTGCAGGCTGAGCTTCGGTTTATAATCGTAACTTTAATTAAAAATTAATAGCAAATTCAAGCTCGATAAAAACACAAAAAAAAAGCGCAAATGTAATTTTTTTGAAAGCCAGCAATTATTATAATTATTAAAACAGGATGTAAATACCTTCAGAAAAGTGTACTCGCAGGTAGAAGAGTGTACATCCTGGAGCCAATTCAACAATTCTCCGACAATAACATCACCTTTGACAAGCTTGACAAATAACTGAAAAGCTGGGGAACTGGGCTTGTACATTTTACTTGAGAAAAGAAAATATACAAAAAGAAAATAAACTAGAAAATCGATTTGACCGTCACAGCACTCGTATTATTCCTCGGTTATGGGCTTAAAACAAAATAAGAAGAAATAACTAGAAGAAAAGGCAGGAAAAGGAAGGACCAGGAATTAGGGAAAGGAACCGGCGGCCAGTGTTAAACATAGGGATACCAGGTGATAACCTTCTCGTTTCTTCTACGTAAACTAGAATACTAGTGACTAGAGAGTCTAGAGTTCTTGAGTGTCACTACTCATTTTTTCACTTGCTTGAATAATAATAATAATAATAATCGTTGGTTAAATAAGATTTAATGTTTTTCATGACAAAATTGAAAAAATTTAAGATTTTTTTTAACAATATGGACATCACTTGGCCTTTTAATTTTACAACTGAAAATAACAAAATCAATTGTATTAAAAGATATATATATATATATAATTTTTTTTTCATCCAATCCGGTTTTTCCAAAACATTTGAATCTTTGGTTTGCAAAACGTTAAAAAAATTATCTCAAAAAGGTTATTATTCCCCAACAACATGGCTTCTGTACTGGTAGACCAACAGTTATATACATCTGTCAAGGTATATCTGGAAATCTACAGCTTTGCCTGTACAGTTATTTATCTGAAGGCACCCAATTAGTTAAAATCAGGTCTTTTATATCTCTTCAATTTTCTGTTTTATCTGGTGTGCCACAAGGCTCCCGTCTTGGGCCTTTTCTCTTTCTCATCTTCATTAATGATATTCACCTTGCTCTATCTGGTACCGATTTCTTCTATTCGCTGATGGCCTAAAAATATATATAAAAATTTATTCTGCCTTAGTTTGCATTAATTTACAAAACGCTCTGAATAATCTTTCCGACTGCTATCAAACTAACAAACTAATGATGAAAAATGATGAATGGTGGAGTGAGTGCGGTGTTCAATCCTTTTTAAAAAGATAGTTCCTACTCACAGTAAGTTGTTTTTCAACAATCCAGATTTCGAGCTTTTAGCTCATCATCAGGTTGAAGGTATTGTATAACCACATCTCTTGACATGAACTCTTTCAACCTGATGGTGAGCTAAAAGCTCGAAATCTGGATGGCTGAAAAACAACTTACTGTGAGTAGGAACTATCTTTTTAAAAAGGAAAGAACTAACAAACTATTCCTAAATACTTCTAAATGCTTTACGGCCACTTTTTCTTACAAAAAAATCCACTATTTTCCACTCTTATTCCATTAATCACAGCTTGTTAACCTGAGTAACTTGTATTAGAGAACTTGGCATCATATTTGTTAACAATCTTCCCTTTACCTGCTACGTTTGCAAGAAATCAAAAATCGCTCCATTAAAATGCTTGGCTTCACCATCCGAAGTACCTATCAGTTGAAAAATCCTTCTTCCTATGCCCACCCATATAATTCATTTGTTTGATCTATTCTTTAATCATCTGGAATCTGCACTACTACTCTGATATAAAACTTCTTCAAATTGTTCAAAATAAATTCCTTCATACATTATACTTCGAATTAAACTGTCACAATGATAAATCGTCTCATACTACCTTTAAATCTTATTTTAATATTTCTGATCTTAGTTGTAGAAGAAAGTATTTTGAGATTATTTTTATTTTCAAATTAATTGTATAGATTCTGAAGAAATCCTTGGTAAATTTCAATTTGATGTACCTCCTTACCACCTCAGAAATTAGAAAATATTTTTTATTGAATATAAAGGAACAAATTTTTCACTACACTCCCCAATGCATCACACGATTATAGAATGTAACAAAATATGCAATACTGTTGATTTATTTAATACTTCTGTTTCCTCATTAAAACATCAGTTAATAATTTTATTTAGTGGAAAAAAGCTAAAAATGTACTATATATGTAGTTGTAATGCTTTAATGTATTATTTGTATACACATATATTTTTGTTTGTGTAATTCCTAGTAGTTATAATTATATAGGCAGGGTGTTTAACATGGCATGGCCATGTGAGCTCTATTATTAAAATAATCTACTCAAGCCTCCATTCTCTTTGACACGTCAGCTTTTTCACTCCACAGAAAATTATAGTTCTCCTCATTAAATCCCTTATTCCTTTATTCTCTTGTTGTACTGCTATTTTTTTCTCTTTCCTTAGACTTTCAATCTGCTCATCTCCTTCAAATTGATTAACAGCCTGCATTAGATACTGTTATGATTTTAAGCCAAGAGATCATCTTTCTTCCCATATTAACATCTTCCGCAACCTTAACATTCTAAGCACTCATAAACGTTTTTTAAAAATTACAGCACTAACACTAATGCGAGCACTCGGGGGACACATGCCATGAGAAGCCAGCCAATTGTATCATTCAGTGTGAGGGATTAAGGGGCAAGGAGGTCTCGAGGCCATCGTTGATCAAGGATGGCTTGACAGAACCCCACATTTCTACTCCGTATGCCTAAAGTCTTGTATAAGGTTAGTTTAGTGTTTATTTTTTTATATATATATACACACAGATCAATGATCCTTTTACCAAGATAAATCATAAGGTTACAACACTTTAAGTAGTAGAAAACAAAATTGATGAAATAAGAAGAACAAACATTAATTATATTAATAATAATAAACAATAAACTATATTTATATATCTTATATAATAGAAGAATTATATAATACGACTATACTTATTTCAAAACAATCTATAAAATTATTTCCTTTAATTTATGTTTAAATGTCTTAAAATTTGGATGAAAAAAAAAACAATATTCGGACATATCTTATTTCCTTCTCTCATTATTCTATTTATTGTAGAGTATAATAAGTAATTTGTTTTACAAAAGGGTACACTAACAATAGGTGATCGTTTGAAGCGTGTATTGGGACATTGAAGGTGATACATGAAATTATGTTAGTACTTCTTAGACACCCATTGATTATATTGGAAAGAAATGATAGATAAAAAACGCCTTCTGTCAGCTAGTGCTGGAAGATTATAGAGAGAAAAAGACAGTTCTGAGGATGAGTGTTGACGGTGAAGACGGATATTGGTCCTAGAAGTCTTCGTAGATGTCCAAGACTATGTTAAGTTATTGTCTTTTAAGTTTGTGTGGGGATTCAACATCAGTCTGCTGTCTAGGTACAGTCCTAGGTATTTAGCTTGAGTGGAAGTTGGTATCTCTTTGTTGTTGATGTACAGTGAAAGGCAAGACTGTTTTTTCATTGTGAACATACACTGAGTACATTTTTCTTCATTCATTCTTGTCCTTGACTTTTTGAACCCATCTTCAATAAGCTCAAGGTGTTCTTGGATATTGGAACTTATGAACTTAGAGTTTTAATATACATATTTAAAATGAAATCAAATAAATGTTCTCAATATCTATAAACTTTTTGTCCCTCATTCCTTATCTAAACGCACTGATCGTACCCACCTTCAGCATTCCTCTAAAAATCTAATGTTATCCCTTAGAATTGCAGGGGCAAGACTATAGAATTTGTTTCCATGGAAAGTTCTTTCTGCTTCCTTGCTGGCTTGTCTTAGGTCTGGCATTTGACATTTTTCCCTATTTCTTTTCCTTTTCCTATTTCCTCATACCTCTCTTTTCTTTCTACTTTTCTTTTGCAATGTGGTTTCATCATTTGTTTAAAAATGATAAATATTTTAAAGAATACATTATTGTCAATATTGTTTTGTACATTTTTATATGTTTTATTATTATTATTATACTAACTTTATTTCTAAAATAAATACTATTATATAAGTACATAAGGGGGCTTAAAGTACTATTTGTTCCTTTAAACTGTAAATAAATAAAATAATATATTTAAATAGCAGTAGAAGTACAAGTAGAAATTTAATGATTGATGATAAAACACACTTTTATAAATAAAATAAATTGGTGAGTTACTTGTCACCATGCGCCTTGAATCATGTATGAACCTTTTTCAGCAGTCATAATAACAGCTGATATTGGATTGCCATTAGGAACATAAGGGAAGATTGAAGCGTCAATAACTCTAAGATTTGTTATGCCGTGAACCCTGAGTTCAGGATCGACAACTGCCCCTTTTGATGCATGTGGACCCATTTTGCAAGATCCTCCTGGATGATTTTCCGGGTAGGTGTATTGTTTAATTATGCATTCCCAATAGGCATCCGTTCCAAATGAGAACTGTGTACAGTTCTGTTGTGGCCTTTTGTCTAATTCTATTCCCCATTTTTTTAACGGTTCCGTTTCACTTAGCCGTATAGCTAGTTTGATCCCTTCTTTCAACACTTCGACATCACTGTAATTAGTCAAGTAGTTCATCTGAATAAGTGGCATGTCATTAGGGTCGCTGCTTTTTAAAGTCAAGTAGCCTACACTCTTTGGCAGTATGTTTGTCGGCCTCATTGTTATGACTTGTTTATCATCTGAATAACCAAAATGGGTATGATGGTAATTATCAGAAGGGCAGCTTGGCGAAAAGCCCTCAAAAAACATCTGTATATCTGGCATATATTGAGAGTATTTGGTGTGCATAAATCCTGTGATTTGTGTCAATCCTGTCGATGCCAACGGCCCAGTGTGATTCATCAAATATTCATTTAAGGAATTTAAGTTCAATGGATTTTGAGTATTGTTTGTCTTTATAAAAAAATTTAATGAGACTGCAACATGATTGTGCAAATTTTCACCAACTCTTAAATCCTGAATCACTTCTATTCCATGCTTTTGCAACGACTCTGCTGGACCGACACCTGAGAGCATTAAAATGTGAGGAGAGCCAAAAGCCCCAGCTGATAAAATTATTTCTTTCTTTGCATAAGCCACTCGCAGTTTTCCATTATCGTCGACAATTTCAACACCAAATGCTTTTTTTGATTGTTTATTAATTAAAACTTTTTGAACTGTGGAATTCAAGCTGATAAACAAATTGTTTCGGCGTTTTTTGTTTCTTATGTACATCCTTGGAGTACTTGCTATGATTCCATTATCTACCATGATCTGGGCTATTGTGAAACCGGTTTGATTATGACCATTTAGGTCTCGGTCCGAGTAACCCAAAATCTGTCCAGCTTTAACGATATCATCTGTCATTTCTGGCTTGTAAGTAAATCTTTGTACTGTTATTGGTCCTTCAGTACCATGGTAAAGTTTATCAATTATTTCAGGATTCAAATTTTTTTCAGCCTTTTTAAAAAACTGTAAACACTCAAAATAAGTCCAACCAACATTCCCTTGCCTTGCCCAACTGTTGTATATTTCTTTGTGCCCTCTTGTATACATCATACCTAAAAAAAAATAATATATGTGTTTTTTAAATTAGGTAAATAAGTAAAATTTTATTACAAACAATTAATGCATAATTAAATCAATAAAACCTCTGGATTTTTTCTTTCATAAGATGTCTTTTTTAAGAACAATTTTATGTTTTTGTTTTTTAATAAAAAATCCAACCTAAAATGTGTACCTGAATAGTAAGATATAAATACTTAAAAAAATGAATTTCAACTGTTTCTTGAAATTCTGCTTCTCCATTGAATACTAAATTTTATTTCAAGTTTTGTTGGTACACCAAAGGATCTAGGATACAGGAAATACAGGGGCAGGAGTATTGAGCCTACATACTCTTCGACAGCAACCCTAAACTAGTCTAAAACTGCCTGAATAACCTAAAAAACTGGATGTACAGTATAACGCCAAGGTTCTAATCATGAAAAAAATTCAGGTAATGGACATCTTAGATAACATACCCTTGAGAAGAAATTTTTTACTTCCTTAGAGAAAAATCATTCAGGAAAACCATTAGCAGAGATTTGGCAAAATAGATGATGCTTATGTGCTAAAAGAGGAACTCTAAATGGAAAACAAATCAATGAATAAAGTTTTTAATTACCAGAAATTGATCCAGACCCTCCCATCATTTTCCCCCTTGGGAGTTCGCAAATGCCAGCGGTGGATAAGCATGCTTCTCTTTCATTTACAGTTTTATATTTCCAATCTAAGTCTGTCCCGATCGCTTTATTTGAAAAACTAGGGACAGTTGTTGTTGTTGCTTCTTCTGGTCCTGCCTCGACTAAAAGTACTCTCCAATTCTTGTTTTCACTAAGACGTGAAGCGACCACCGAACCTAGAAAAAAGTTTTGAAAATTAATGAAATTTTTTTTTATTTTGGGACATACCTGCTACACCTCCTCCGATGACAATGAAATCGAATCTGTTTGTGTCGTAGTTTGTAGTGGGTTGAGTCCGTGAACACGGTTGGGCTATTCGACAAGAACTTCTCAACATGAGATCCACAAGAGACATGAAAAGTGTGACATTTGGGTTTGTGCCACAAGACCTTCCCAAATAGGAACTGTCTTCGAAATAACAGTTACATTCCATCTCCTGAAGCGATGGATTTATATTTTGGCAATCTGGAACAAAATGAGCTTTTACTGCTATTTTATTAAATCTTTGGAAAATATTTTTAAATTTAGTTCATCTAATAGATTTTTAGTACAACAACAAAATTTTAGTTTAAAGTCATATCATTTATCATTCTCTATTGTTGGTGCAAGACGTGGGATGGACTTCCTTTCCTGGGATGTTTATTAAAAAGCCAGTCTTTTTATGTATTTACTTGATTATTTTCATTCTACACTGCCATACTTATGAACAATCAATTATAAATCATAAAACCCTTTCCAAACCTCAAAAACCTTAGTACCCCCTACATCACATCACCCCATTAGTATGCTGTTATTACTTGGCAATCCTTGAAAGCTCCAATATGATTCCATCCCAGCAATTCTGGCTCAGGTGACATCACTCTACCATTCAACCACAGGCTGGACATCATTGCATCCTCCCTTAAACAGAAAGAATGGTGCTCGAGTTCTTTTCTAGACATGAGGAAAGACTTCAAGTATGGTATCATCATCCCAAATAAAATCCTATCTAAACAACAGGTCTTTCAAGTGCGAATTGGAACATCATTGATCACTATGCCAAAGCGGGTGCGAGGCAACGTCCTCGGTCCATTCAGTATACATTGCAGACAATCCTATCAATTGTGGTACAGTACTCTCCTTGCAGACGATATTACCAACCTTTCAGTGAACCCAGACCCAGCAGTGGCATTCAGAAACCTTTAAAACGAGGACTGTTTAGAAGAAAGGTCCAAGAAATGGAGGATCCCAGGAAATTGACTTCATTCCTCCACTCTACTACAATTCTGTTCCTCTGCTGCAACCAATGTCTTCCACTATGTGGGACTTCACATAGATAAAAAGACTATTGTACAACAGATGAAGGAAAGGAAGAAGAAGAAACAGTGGAATTTTCGTTGGTGCGATGTCCCAGCTGCTACTCCAGGAAGAAGAAAAGCTAAGGCCTGAAGTTTTACACGGGAGCTCTTAACAAAACGGTGGTTTCTGATAAAAAGACTTAAGTTTTACGAAGAGCTCTAAGTAATAGTAGACCAATATTGGTCACTTAATACATCATTACTACAATTAATCTGGACGGAATTGGACTGTGGGGTTCAACTAAGCGTTTCCAACCCTGAACAATCCAGTCTCTCTAGTCCAAAATCGTTCGTTCGAACCATTACGAGTCTAAAATTTAAAGGGTTTACAAAATAACCCTCAGGGATTCCGCTTAACAGACCCCATAGCTTGCTAGTGTCGAGTGTCACAGTACAAAACCACTCGTCTTTGACATATTAAACACGATTAGCACTGTCTGCGCGAATACATTATTTTGAACATTTCGGCCGAAGTTCGAGCCGGGAAAATTTGTTATCAGGACACGAAGAAACACCACTCTCACGGTCATATGACAAAAGAGGTTGTTTTAAGAATTTATCCCAGGTCGCAGACACAGTCTTGTCAGCTAAGACCAGTATCCACGCCATCCCATCATGATTTGAAAGTCCTGATGAAGGATAGCTTCGAAAGCTCGAGGAAGGAATTGCGAGTTTTCATTCCAACAGGCCTAATCCTTGATGTTTTTAATGTAAAGTTATAGTATTAAAGACAGATTTTAGTTTTGCTTGAGAATAATTAAGTGTATTGGTCAGAGAATTTTTATTTAGACAAATTTACAAAAAGCAGGGACATTAAACAATGTGAACGTCGGTAGATTGACGTTACGTGCTTTCAGTTATAATGATGTAGATAATAAACAAAAAATGGTAATGAAATTGCCATTGTTCATCGTCTCAATGTCAGAGAATGACATGCACTCAAATTTGTTATGCATTTTTACGATTGTTCGAAAGGGGTCAGACACATTCAAGGCCTGTTTGTTGCTAAGCGTCGCTGCTGGGCAAAATTCAAAAATTTTGCTTTGTAGCATTTAGAATTAAACGAAATGGTATCCCCAGGAGTGTGTTCGCACCTATTCATTGTGTTGGACCTGTTAGATCCTCGTCGCTCCGGAGCTTCCATCAGACTACCTTCAGCCGGTTCAAAAACTGGGTCACCCACTATTCGACACCGACACATATCCCTCGATCTCGGTTCATCATTTGCAAAAAAAATCCAAATTATTTTATTATCTCGGATCTTTAAAAACCGGCCAAAACCGATCCCGTTTCGTCGAATTTAAATTTACATCTAAATTGTCCGCCGGTGTGGCGTCGAGTTTCGAGTCGAGACCGTTGGATGGTCCATTTGAAATTAGTAGTCCATTAGCTTTCACTGTCAGCTACTTAATTTGAATTGGTTTCCTTGTGTGTGTCTAACCTCCTATTGAAAGGATAGAAAGTAAGAATGTTCGGCTCGTTTCTTTTTTGTAATCGACCTAATAAAAACATCTTCAGTCCTGGGCATCTGACCGTTTTCAACGTTTATCTGAAGGAAAAATAGTGCCTATTCTTTTATCTTAAAATCGTCGTACCATTTTGAATATTATTCTTTTTCTTTTTGAAGCATTAACGTCTGTGGGATTTATTCTACTCAGCTTTTGTCACAAATACCAATTTTTCAACTGGAATATTTCTTTAGGACTTAAATTCACGTTTAAGCTGCCCTTTCTAACTATTTAATTTAACTATTTAATGTGTGGTGTTTAGTGACAATTAGTCAATGATTATTCGGAGATCATGAGATGCGGTCTGGTGTGACGTAGGTTTTAGAAAAACCTTTTCTTTAACATGCCAGCGTTTCGATCTTTATTGAGATCATCTTCAGGGCTCAAAGTGTTTGTTTTCCGTGTAGATGATCTCAATAAAGATCGAAACGCTTACATGATAAAGAAAATGTTTTTCTAAAACTTACGTCATACCAGACCTCATCTCATGATCTCCGAATAATTATTTATTTAATGACTATGCGGATTATCGACGAGTGGAACATACTATAGTGTAAGATGTGGATCTGGTGTAGTGTCATGATTAAAAAGGAGAAACTGCAGTGTCATATAGTCAGGATTATGGCAAGTGATTTTAGTTTCTTCTTTGTTAATCCTGACCATAACCAGATATCTTACACTATAAGCCACTGGTCGATAATCCATTTAGTCATCATATTCACCTAGTACCATCATGGCCTTTAGGCAAGTGATTGTAGTTTCTTCTTTTTCAATTCTGACCATACACCAGATCCTCATTTTACAAGAGATAATGAATGTAATAACATAACTTAAGCAGAGCAAAAGGAGGACACTTTCATCATTATCTAGCAGAAGATCCAACATCAAAATTAATACAAGTATGTACTTGATAAACAACACAGTTATTAAATTATAATAAGATCAACCGTCAGGGAATTTTTCCAATTATAATAAAAAAGTCGTAAAGGATGCGCATTGTTGTAAGATTCACGAAAATAATTTTAAAAAAGCTTTTGTTACATACGTGTAGCTAGAAGGAACATGTTATATCTTCTGTATCTTCCATGGGTCGATGTTTATAGAGCTTTAACCAGGGCAAATAATTAAGTATTATCTCTCCATTGTCCTTTCATACTTATCATAAGATATTTCACTAGACGACGCCTATTCTTCAGGGGGGAAAGTGTCAGTTAACGGTTTTCCGAGTGCTTGGACTGAAAAAATTACATATTTAGGATTAATTTTGGACAGGAAGCTTAACTTCTCTAGTTACGTAAATGGGATTATTAAAAGGGGAGGATGGCTGCGAGGATCCCCTCACGCTTTTGTCTTCCAACTCAGGGCTGAACATTAAAAATAAACTCATTCTTTACGAACTTGTGGTATACCTTTTGTATGATTGCCCTGCATGGAACTACACGTCCCGCCCACAGGGTATGATTTGTTCTGGTCAATGGAAAATTATTTAAAACAACTCTTGGGTCAATACAAGAAATAAAACCTGCACTGCGGGATTTTTGACCAGACCACGGACTAATAAATCCCATTGGGTGCCTATGGAAAAGTACCAATAAAATTATTCACTATGCAAAAGCGATAAAAGGCAACATGTATATAATATAGCGGTTTTATTTCAAATTAACCTTTTTAACTTTAAATTAACCATTTTTAACTTTAAATTACCCTTTTAAGTTCATATTAAACATTTTAAATTTTAAATGACCCTTAACTTCAAATGAACCCTTTTTAACATCAAACTAACATTTATTAACTTTAAATTAATCTTTTAACTTTCTATAAACTTTAAATTAACTTTTTTAACTCTAAATTATTATTTTAATTTCATACTAACCTCTTTTAATTAAACTTTTTTCAACTTCAAATTAACCATTTCTAATTTCACTTAATTTAATTTTTTAAATTTATTAATTATTTTAAACCTTTTGTTTATCGAGAATTTTTAAGAAATATAAAATTGGTTCTCATCTAAAATACTACACGAAAATTAATTTCAATTAAAATTAAAATGATATGAAATGAAATATAAAAATAAATTCTTCTTCTATAAGAATTTAATTCAATTTTTTTGTGGGACAATATTTTTATATTATTTTCACTAATTTCGTGGTCCGCTTGACCAATTATTTTTATATATTATCGCCCGTAGACTTCTTTTATTATTCAATTATACTTTTTATTGCCTTTTTAATTATTATTATTATTTTGTTTTTAAATTTTTTATATATATTTTTTATTTTATATTTTATTTATTTTTTTATATTTTTTTCCACATGGGTTAGGGCATAGGGAGGTTATGCAAGCAAGTCTTGCTTCTGTAGTCTAATAATTCCAGATTTTGTAAAAATATGAAATAATTTTTCTACAAAATAATTACTGTTTATTAAAAAAAACTAGAATTTATAGAAGAAACATTTGTTTCTACATTTAATTTTCTAATACTGTCTCTCAAATTAAAAGATAAATTCTTTATTTTTATATTTAATTTTACATAACTTTTAATAACTTGTATATGGATTAAGTAGTCATAATTGACCATATTAATTATTTATTTCCATTCACTCGGACACCAATCCCTCACCGAATAAGGATAGCTCAAGTGGCTAGAGCAGCGGGGTATTGAGCCGAAGGTCGTGGGTTCGAATACCGCTTGTGAAACTAGCTTTTTCATTTTCAACCAAGACTATTAATTATTACGAGTATAATTTAATTAAAACAACTTTTTATGATAGTCATAATTCATTTTTACGTGGTCTTCTAAGAGCCCAAATATTTTATATGAAAAAATTCTCAAATATACAGTAATTTTACTTTACAAGTTTATATATTCACATCTTTTTCTAAGTTTTCTTAGTGTTTTAAAGAAAGGGTTAATTTGTTGTAAAAAATGATTAATTTGCAATTAAAAACAAGTTAATTGAAGTTAAAAAGGGTCAAGTTAATGGAAAAAGACCATATAAAGTGATCAACAGCTTAAAAGTAGAACCAAATTAAGAAATAATAAACTCTTTTTAGCAATGGCCAAACACGCCTCTAAAAGATTCCAAGGGTTGGATTTGCTGGAATTAAAAATCGTGAAAAATTGCAGCGATAACGAAAAATAAACTGCTCAAAAATGAATAAGGATATTTGTAATTTGTTCTTATTCTATTAATTTAAATTAAATTAACCGATTTGTTCTTGTTAGTTGGATAAAACAAAATAGAAAATACAAACCAAAAATAAACAAATGTTTATCCTCACTTTTAATAACGGATTTTCCGAAGAATAGTAAACATGAAGATTACTCATTTTGTAACATACACCTTTTCTCGTCTTTTCTCCACTTATCCAGTTGTATTCTCTTTAATCATGGAAAGACATTATCTTGAACTAGAAGTTCGCAATATTGTTGTGAGAATGAGTCATCGAGGTCACCGCCAAGTGGATATCACAGAGGCAGTTGACATTTCCCAGAGCGTGGTCTACCGGGCTTTAGCCCGATTCCGAGAGACTGGAAGTGCCAATTGGAGGCCTGGTAGTGGATCCAGCGCATTACGACGCTAAGGGAGTGCAGAAATATTATCCTTGCTGCAAGGCGGAACCCTTTCGATAATGCCCGCCTGATCCAAAATGACGTATAAGGTCTTTAACAGCGTTGGTCTCACATCGTATGCCCCTTTGAGACGACCTGCAACAACAGCCCGCTACCAGCAACTGAGGAGAATATGGTGCAGCGAGCCTTAGAAGAGAATACCCCCTTCAGTGCAATTTGGAGAAGGAAGTAAATGGTTGGGCTGGGATTTACACTGTTGGTCGAACTGGGTTCGATATTGTTGAAGGCAACCTCAACGCAGTCCGTTAAGTCCAAGAAATTATCGAGGAATAATGAAGCCAGGGATATCATTAGCTGGGATTTTCGATTTCTGGATGACAATGCCAGAGCCACCTCATTGAGGCAGAGTTGTTCACCAATATTTAGAAAACCTGGTCCCCTTCCCCCATTTACTCCAGACATCAATCCCATTGAGCACTTGTGGGATGCGTTGCAGAGAAGGCTTTGCAATCATCATCCGCAGCCAGTTGTCCTGCAACTACTGAGTGCAGCGCTACAACGACTATGGAGTGAAATTCCTTATGAAATTAGTTACAACCTTATTAACGGTATGACTAACAGATGTACAGAGGTTTTAGCTAACAGACGGTATTAATTGTTTAAAAAAATATTGTGTCCAATAAACAAAATTATGGGATTAAAACCTTTTCTTTTGTTACTTTTCAAAATCCCTTAATTACATTTCCTTCTGTAAAAACCATAATAATTTCTAATCAATTTTTATGCAATTTATGCATATATATAATAAAAACAAAATAAAAATGCTAGGGAAAGTAAATACTACAAAGTTGGTAATATCCCTATACATTTTTGAGCAGTTTATGAACTTTAATATTCGATGAATGCTCACTGAGCTCATGGCGGTTACACTTAGTTTCAATATACAAATACAACTTATATAAAAATTATTCCTTTGGCGTGATATTGTTAAATACCGAGAAATCTTTTTTTATCCGTTTGATTGTGTGGGTTGTCTTTCTATAGGTCCTTACTTCCAAAGGATGTAAACAGAATTAATCACAGTGCTAACACGAAGTGTTTTTGTGGTATAAAGGGCC